GCGCACCCGTGAGAAGGACATGGTCCAGGCCGGACTGGCTGACGGCATGTGCTTCTCCCATCGCTCATTGAAGAAGAACTTTGTTGACTATCTCCTTGTTCCTCTGGTAGCTCCGTTGTATGGCGCTATTCCTTGCGCTCAAGCGGAAATTGCGCATTTTTGGACTGCCGATTTGCAATATACCGTTAGCAAGAAGGCTCTTCGGCAGCGGGCAAAGTCCGTGGCCGTGGAAGATATTGCTTGAGAGAGCTTTGCGCCATTTGCTTTTGAATATTCATGTCGGTCACTTATGAGCAAGTTTTTGAAGCATCATTCGCTGTGTTTGATCAACCTTTTTCAGGCAGGAGTAGGTAAGTTACATATAATGGAAAGGATACGGACATTTTTCAGCTCGATCCATGGGAGCTATTGCGAAGGATCTAATCGGAGTTTATGGGTATGGAATACCCCAATGTGAAGAAGCATGGAGTTGGGAACACATCTACCAGCGCACCGATGAATACACTGAAGATACATAATGGTAATATCTCTTATCAGGCACTCTACATATACTCTGGGCGAGATTCAGGATTAGTAATAGGACATAGCTATAATAAACAAATCCATCATGATGCTTTCAATTCTCCAACTACAGTGTACTGTAACTGCCAAACTGCTTCCCCCAAAAATGGGCTCTAATTTAGAGGCTGCGACTAATGCAGCGTTCCGTAAAATCCCAAGTGCGCGGAACAAGTCTTGGATTACGGAGGCGGAGCGGAGATTAGTGGGGCTTCCGAGCCGGGCGGCGAGTCAGATGCGAAACTCGAAGCCTCAGCCAATCAATACTCGACGGTGCCTGAAATGAGCGAGAAAGTATATTATTGTTATGCATATCCAATGATACTGTATTTAATTGGTGGCTGAGTTGGAGATCTGAAGTAGTCGTGAGGAGAGAGGGTGGAAGATTTGTCTAGAGATATTGTTATCGGGTAGGTGGTGGTGGCTTGTTCACATTTGTAATGGGGAGCTGAGTTGTGTAGAGTATGCCTGCTGAAGACGCACAGCCTCTCGTTCACTAGGATATATATCATGTAAATTTCCTATGTATTCGGGAGCATAAATGTAAGAGAGGAGAGACAGGGTGCCCTTATGTGGCGCCCGAAAAAACCCATGTCAATTGAAAGGTAGTTAGACCTCTTTCTGTCTCGATGTTCAAGTCATGATTACTAGACAACGTCCTGAGCATATGGCTTCTTCACCTTGAAGGCAGATACATGCACCTCTAAGTGCTCAGAGTTCTATAGAGCATTCTAGAGGATTGGTCCACATAACGTGATGCTGCTGTGGTCGTGAGTCAACATCTACGAGAATTGACATAGAGCAGAGCGTTGTCTTAGTAGTTCCCCATCGACTAGCAGCCGATGAAGGACTATCATATATGTGAGGTATACACTGTAGAGTGCATATGAGTATTGATATTATTATGGATATGAAGACTTCATTGTACACCGTAGTGCCCTGATTCCAATTGTTGTATGTTTAATGATGGCCTCACATATTGATTGCAGTCCATCAACTTTGATAGCTTGCTTGTAATCTGCAGGCGGTCAGAGACGGTCAATGGCGTGAGACCCACCCTCGTGCATCATTGGCTCCGCTTCGGCGGGGTCGGTTGCTGAGCCAGCGACATCCATCAACGATAACCGCCTTATCGCATGATCCCATTGGTCTAAATCTGCCAGTGGAGACATCGTTGAATGGCTTGACGGAGAAAGAAAAAAAAAAAAAAAAGAGCAACCAGAAATTTTCTGAGCTTGTCGCCTGCCTCGCCTTTTTTTCCTCTTCACGTCGCCATCTCCAATCCTTCGGGACTCGCAGAACCACATTCTCTCCGGAACTCTTTCTCTTCTACTCTGTACCAATTCTTTTGGATTTGCATCATAACCACCAATACTAAGATTTAATATCCCCGTCGCAATGGCTGCTGTTCCCGGTCCCGTCTATGGCCTCGAGGTCCCGCCTGGAGAGGTGCTGATCCCGGCCAACTTGGAGTTTCCTGCTTCTGTAAGTTATTTCTCTCAACTATTGTTGCCAATCATCTAGGGACTCGTTGGGTCGAGCATACTTGGCCTTATTTTCGGCTTTGATTCCAACGATTGCCGATGCATGAAACCATTGGCTTTGCGCGGTTGATGCTAACCATCCGCCTTCCTTGTTGCAGTTCCGCATCACCATGGCCGCTTTGGATCCTACTCAAGAGCCTGAGCTCGATGATTCCAAGAACGCTCCTTCTGTCCTTCGTTCTACCCTGCGCCTGATCAAGCGCGCTTTCCCCGGCCTGGACGAGGATGAGGATGATGAGCTCGACGAGGAGTACATGAACGCCCTTCTCGGTAACTCTGAGGACGAGGATGAGGAGGCCAATGGTGGCCCCAGCGACCCTGCCAAGGCTAAGAAACAGAAGCAGGCTGCTGCCATCAAGAAGCTTCTCGAGGCCACCAACGGTGAGGACTCTGAGGACGAGGAGATGGAGGATGCCGAGATCAACGGTGCCAAGTCCAAGAAGGGCAAGAAGAGCAACGCCAACGCTAAGGGCAAGGGCAAGGCTATCGAGGAGGAAGAGGAAGATAACGAGGAGGAAGAGGATGACGAGGACGACGACAGCGAGGGAGGTGACCTCGAGAACTTCGTTCTCTGCACCCTCGACACTGAGCGAGTAAGCCTTACTACACCATCAGTTTTCTGAAATTTTCTTTCAGAGCAAGACTCACATGTCCAAAACCTATGCGATATACTAACACCTCGATTTAGAACTACCAGCAGCCCCTTGATATCACTGTCAACCAAGGCGAGAAGGTCTTCTTCGTTGTCTCCGGAACACACACCGTTTACCTGACCGGTAACTACATCATGGATGATGAGGATGAGGAGGACCAGGATGGCGAGGATGACTACGACCTGTCCCCCGATGAGCTGGAATATGCCATGGGTGAGGAGGACAGCGAAGAGGAGAGCGATGATCTTGACGATCTCGAGGATCCTCGCATTACCGAGGTCGACTCCGATGAGGAGGAGGTCCCCAAGCTGGTTCCCACAGACAGCAAGAAGGGCAAGAACAAGCGCGCTGCCGCTGAGGTTGAGGGCCTTGATGAGCTCATCTCCAAGGCTGCCGATTCCAAGCTCTCCAAGAAGCAGCAGAAGAAGCTCAAGAACAACAAGGGTGAGGCTGTGGCCGCTGAGGAGAAGGAGGAGAAGAAGGACGCAAAGAAGGTCCAGTTCGCCAAGAACCTGGAGCAAGGCCCTACCGGCTCCACCGCTGAGAAGGCTAAGCAGACCGGCAAGGCGTCTCTTGGTGTCAAGAATGTCCAGGGCGTCACCGTTGATGACCGCACCATTGGCAAGGGCCGCACTGTCAAGAATGGCGACACTGTTGGCGTCCGATACATTGGCAAGCTCCAGAATGGACAGCAATTCGATGGTAAGCTTAACTCATGACTCTTTGTTTACGCAGGGACTAACTTTGGATGAACCATAGCCAACAAGAAGGGCAAGCCCTTTTCTTTCAAGATCGGCAAGGGCCAGGTCATCAAGGGCTGGGACGTTGGTATTGTCGGCATGGCCATCGGTGGCGAACGCCGACTGACGATTCCCGCTCACCTCGCCTACGGCTCCAAGAGCCTGCCCGGCATTCCCGCCAACAGCCAGCTGACCTTCGACGTCAAGCTGCTCGAGATCAAATAAATCAAAAGTCAATGTAAACTTGGGACCGGCGTTGGATGACTTCCGTGGTTGCGTGTACTAATTTATCACCCCTACCCTCTGGACGACGTGGAATCTGGGCATGGTTCATTTTGTTTTTCTTGTTTCCTTTGACGTGTTGACCTCTGATGAGGAGTCTGAGGCCGTGCTGTAGGCAAGGGCCTGCAGCTCTGCCATGGCATATAGTGCCGTGCGGCATTCGGATGTGGCATGCAAATCGGGGTTTGGGATTCTCAAAGGCGAGGAGCCGGAATCGTTTGAGCTTAAGCTTTACAGGCCGAGTACTCCTTTGGTCTCTCCTATGTACAATGTCGTCGCTGTTGATAAAAATTTGGGTGCTTAGGGATTTGAAATGGGCGATTTTAGACGTCTATAAAACGAAATGAAATATTGTTCTTATATAAACACTGCGTGTGCTGTAGAGGTTGATGAAGTAGTACCTACTATATCTACTAAACTCAGCACTGGACATCTGTGGCATGGATGTTAAAGTGTTGGATAACACACCTGAAGGTGCTGGATAGCTACTCCCTCAATGCCGCTCTGCTTGGAAAAGAGTGATCGGGCGGTGTGTCTAAAACTGGAAGCAGTGCTCGATGGACGACGTCATGCCTCTTTACTTTCTGTCCCTCTCCCCGATATCGTCAACAGCTCTGTTTTCTCTCCCTTTCCACTTGTTCACCAGGTCGGTCTCATACTTTTGACGTGGTCATTCATTCATTCATAACTATCAACTATCGAAGAAAAATACTAAAAAAATCATCATCTCTATCGTCATACCCTGTCCCTTTCTTTCCGTTCAGCTGCCGGATTCTGTGGCTGTCGCCCGTTTCCCTTCATATTCCTGGCACATAATGCTGCCTCAGCCTCACAATGCAAGGCGGAATCACCCTGCACTGGATCCTCCTCCCAACGGACCCAATGACTCTCATATTCCCTCTTTTCGGCCTCCATTCAACGGAGGAGAAGGTTTCGCAGGATCTGACCTTTTGAGACTTCATCGAAAACACTCAAAGCAATGGACTGATAAATTCCGCAAGGCCATCGGAGTAAAGGGGAAAAATGACCATGGTAGTTCACTCATGCAATTTATGGTTGAGATATTAGACAGTGCTGATAATTGGCAGGCTCGCAAGGTTCTGCTCCTCTTGAATGGTCTCTGAGCGAAGGACTAAGATCCCTGAACTTGAACAAGGGGAAGAATCCCGCCGTCGGTGTTTCGAGCAATGGTGCTACGGTGCTACGGAAAGCAAGAAAGCCACCAGCGACAAAGGGATTCATGAGAAAGATACGGTCGAACGATGCCAAGATATCACCAAGCTCTACTGTTGTGGTTTCCGACACTTCTCTGCAGCAGCATCAGTCGTTCCAAGAACTCACCAGTGTTACTGAATCGGATGATTCGAGCGAGCAGGATGACATATGGTCATCTACTCACAGCAGTAGACTGGCAAGCCCGGACGATAATCTGACAGGAAAGACATCAATCGACTCTCGTATTTCTGGGTCACCCTCAGCAAAAGGAAGCCCAAGGAGGAAATTGAGTCGTCGGAGTCGCTGGACCAGATCTAGCCCAGAAGGCGCAGGGCTGGGGACCATCGAAGAAACGGCGACGGACAAGCCGAAGCCAACCATTGTGACAGTGGAAAAAGCTGCTGCTGCCAAGATATATCTCGAGACTCACTTTAATGAGCTCTGCGGTGAATCACAGCGCCGCTTAATCAGATGTCAGGAGTTTGCAGAGCGGCAGTTCAAAGAAGGTCTTTTTTATGGCCCGAACCTCGCCTCTGGGAATAGTGCCGTTGACTACAGCACCTTCTATTACTCAGAGAGCTGTCGACTGAGAGACATACGGGCGTTGAAGTCCAAATGCACGCTTCAGGCCAAACAACAAAACGTAAGCCCCTTTGTGTCCAAGTATGAGCCGCTCAAGGTATTGGGCAAAGGCAGTTTTGGAGTTGTCAGGCTAGTACGTGAAAAATCAGCTTCGCCGTATAATTTCTCCAATCCAATCTATGCGATGAAAGTCATACGAAAGTCCGATATGCTTCGAAGCAGCCAAGAGGGCCATCTCCGCGCCGAGAGAGACTTTCTCGTTTCTTATGAAGGATCCACCTGGTAATGACACTCTTTATTTCCTTCCCCTTCTCTCACTATACATGTATTGTCTAGCTAACATGTCGCCTTTTCACGCAGGGTGGTCCCGCTGATTGCAAGTTTCGAAGACATGTCAAATCTATATCTTGTGATGGAGTATATGCCAGGTGGCGACTTTCTGGGGCTGCTGATTCGAGAGAACATATTGCACGAGGCTGTAGCGTGCTTTTACATTGCTGAAATGATTCTGGCCGTTGAAGAAACCCATCGCCTTGGGTTTATCCACCGTGATATCAAGCCTGACAACTTTCTCATCTCCAGTTCGGGACATCTTAAAATCTCCGATTTTGGGCTTGCGTTTGATGGAAAGTGGCCTCATGACGCGTCATATTACAATTACCATCGATACGCACTGCTTCGGAAGCTCAACCTTGATGCACAAGGCGATGAAAAAGACCAGGAAGACTGCAAAAGCGTTCAATCGCAGGTCGAGAAAGCTCAAGCCCTGGCTGCTGAATTTGGGCGACATGACGAGCGGAACCTAGGAAGCGATCCCGATCTCGCTGCTATTCTAGGGTGGAGGAACACGCGGAGCAATCGTACGAGAGCCAACTCTGTCGTGGGCACAAGTCAATACATGGCCCCCGAGGTGATTCAAGCACAAAACTTCCAGACCTACTACGACGGTAGATGTGACTAGTAGAGCATCGGCATCATTCTGTACGAGTGTCTCTATGGACACACGCCTTTTCTTTCAGACGAAGGCAGGAAGCCTACAAAGCAAAATATCTTGGTAAGTGTGTCTGTGATTGTTTTCATATAGGTGCTAATGCTATCAAAGGCTCACAGAGAAAATTTTCGCTTTCCCATGAGACCTCTCGTCAGTGATAGATGCAAAGACTTAATCTACCGCCTGATTCAGGACAAGGAAGTACGACTCTGTTCCAAACGATACCAGATGCTTGATCATCATCAACCAGGAGCAGCGGTATCAACCGACATGTATGGCAGATACATTTTCCCCGACGACGCCGAAGACATCAAGGCGCATCGGTTCTTCAAAAGCGTGCCGTGGGATACCCTTCAAAACACAGCACCACCATTCGTCCCTCATATTGACAGCCTTGAAGACACTCACTACTTTGATGAATCAGAACCCCTTGATGATCGAATTGAGTCGGTGGCTGAGAAGCCTGGGCTAACAGATGAAGAAGTTCGGTGGATTTTGCGAGAGTTTAGACCGAGCATACAGAACGTGGCGATTCGGATGATTCACGCCCCATATGATTCAGGGGCTCTCCGCAGCAGGGACTTGGAGATTGACTCGGTGAGTACGTTTCTGGACGAAGAGAAGGAGCTTTTAAAGAGGTTCATGAGGGAGTACGGGCGGAGAGTACCCAAGCGACCACGAGACATTATTCTACGAGACGATAACATGAAGGGTACTGCCATGAAGGTAAGAAAGCAGAGCGCCTTTATGGGTTACGAATGGCATAGCGTGAGGAAGAAGGCATATTGAAGGACGGATTGATGAGTTGAAGCTCCTATCCTTTGACGGAACTTGGCGGGGTGGATGGGAGATGCTTTGACCAGCGAATAAAACAAACATAAGACAATCGCATAGCAGAATTAATGGATTCAGCATGATTAATTGGTATTGATTACATGATTTCGCTTGCTATTTTATCGTCTGAGAAGGCTATACAAAGGAAGCCTATATTCAGCTCCCCAAGGTGGCCAAGTGGCTATCCAACCCCCCAACGACTGCGTAGAGTTTGAGCATCGGAGCCAGATGTGAAGTAATATCGTTTATTCACTACTATCAGCATTTACTTAAACAATAGATGCTCAGTTCTTCAAGTATCTGCTATCGATCCAACTACATGGAATGATTCATTAAATATACCGATGTGTAATAAAATCACCGTTAGCCAGCCTTTGCTGCTGGTGTTTGAGCCGTGTTGTCCGACGAAGCAAGCGACCTAGCCGTACGAATCTCCCACTCAAACTCCCTAAGGGCCCTAATCTCAGACCAAAAGAAGAGCAGGGCAAGAAGGCCGTCCACGACTCCAGTGGCAAGGCCCAGGCTCGCGACGAGCATGAGGATGAAGGCGACGAAGTTGCGGGGGCTGAACCACACGGCGACGAGGCAGCCTATCCAGACGAGGACGGAGGCGTAGAAGTGGATGCCGCGCCAGTGGCGCTGGCGGACTTCGCGGGCCATGTATTCTTGGGTCATGGCGAGGATTTCGTCGTAGTCGGAGAGGGTTAGGCTGGCGCTTTCGGGGTCGTTGTCTTCTTCTGGGGGGAGAAGTTGGGCGTCTAATTCGGGGATGGGGGAAGAGGGCGAGATTTCGTGGAGTTTGAGGGTGGCTAGGGCTGCGAAATGGTCGGATAGGGAGACGTTGAGTTCGGGGTGACGCTGGGTCATTTCGACTGATGCAGAATGGACGACCCAGCCTCGAGGTTGTTGGGGATTGGCGGCGTCTGGTTGGAAGGGGCCGGTGGAGGCGAAGACATAATCGAGGCGTTTACCCCGAGGATCTGGACTGTCTGGGTCGACAGGGCAAGGGTCAGTCTTTAGTTTCTTCTGGGCGCTCTTTGACCAGCGCCAGGTGTTGTAGAGGCCATCGCTTGTTGATCCATTGAATTTGAGATTGAAGCCGGCAGTGGGCACGGGAAGACCTCTGGCCTTCTCTACGGGATCGTCAGCGGTGCCGAGAGAGCTGTCGGGGTGAAGAACACGCCAGGTATCGCGAAGAGGACTGCGGGCGGTGATGATGCGATGGCAAAGCGATCTTGGCGTCATGTTGAAGTCGCCGAGAGCGACGACGAGGCGGCCTGAGAGGGATGCGGCGCGGAGGAGCTTGGAGATTTCCCATGCTTGGGCTGTGCGGTGGCAGAGGTAGGTGTCATTTGGGGGGCTCTCGTAAGGGGCGTGAGTCTGTGGCGGGTTAGCAGGAGAATAAGATGTTGAGGGTGAATTTCATGTGAAGAAGAGAGTGAGATGAGCAGGATATGCATGGATTGCAGGGTCCTACTGTTCTTACTTGAAGCAGCTCGTTTTACACACAGCACATAACTCATATAGATGTATGAGTTTTGGCGAGGAGTGAAGAATGAAGAGGGGAGATGGAGATGAAATGAACTCACATGAGTGTTGAAGACCTCAACTACATCATTCTTCCCCGGCCCAAACCTCACACTGGCACACGCCACGCCCTTGCCGACATACCAATCGCCTCTCCAAAAGGCCGTGGGCCGTCCATTAAGCGGATACCGAAACATGGAGCTCGACTCAACCGGCCATCGACTCAGAAGCGCAAGGCCACCGCCAAAGGCGCCGCTGTTGTAAAACTTGCCATAGGGGAGAATGTCAGCAGTGGCCCGGCAGATGGCGAGATAGTCGTCCCGGGTCCAGCATTCCTGAAGACAGACAATGTCCGGCGGGGGGTTGAGGAGGGCCAACTGGCGGCCGATTTCAGCGAGGCGCGGAGTGCGCAGATCAGAGATGAAGAGCAGGCCCCAGCAGTTGAGGGTGAGGAGCCGGATTTGCGTGACGGGCTGGCTGGTGGCCTGCGAGGCTGAAGAAGGTTCGTCCATGGTCTTAGTATTGCGTTGCGTTGTCACAAGGCTGATGGTGTGTGTTTCTGTGTGGGGAGAGAGAATGGGGGCCCAATTGAGCTGGAATTGCGGTGTTGTTAAGCTCGGTGAAGTGGGATGTTGATTGGGAATTGATTGGCAAGGATTTCGTGTGTCAGCTGAGTGAGTTCATGATGTTTGGTGAAGCCGGCACAGGAGGATGAAGATGATGAATGTGGTGAAGATGGCATGTTTATCGGGCCGCCGTTGGATGTTGACGTAGGTAGCTGAGACTACCCTGTAATAGTGGGCTGCGCTGTACTAAGGAGTACATATACCTAGTAGCGCCTCAGCAATTGCGTGGAATTGGGACATCGAAACTGGATATCAAGGAAAGCCGTTGATTCATGTGTTGCATAATTCATCTACACAAGAATATCATGGAGCTGCGCCAAAATTACTGAATAATATTAAAGGCCAAGGTCAAGCCAGGTGTATTGTCTGCAGTGCACATGGCCAACGTGTTTCCCCACTTGAACTTCTCGGGCTAAGCTCTCTCTAGAGCTTATTTAGGAGTTTAGCTCTTGAAAACTTTTACAACACTGTTAATGAAAAGAAACTAGATATAAAGTGATATATAATAATAATAGCAGCAGAGCTAACTTATACTAAAAAGGAGATATACATGAATCAATATATCTTAAGAGGGTTCTTATGTAAAGTAACACCTTGGTTTTACAGCGTTATGCATTCCAGATTTTAAGTTAAGGCTTCTTGAAATTATACTAATACTTGTATACTACTATATAGAAACCCAAATTCATGTTTTTGTTTCACCTTGCACGGATGGATTCCAGAGAGGCAGCTTGCCCAGAGAGATCACGTTTCCACAGGCAATCTCAACGATGGAAGCAAATTATCCGAACTCAATTCCATAATGCAGTTTAATCGCAGGTAGCGGTATCGCAGAATCCCTCTCCAGCGAAGCAAGCGGGGTCGCTGGGCTCAACACATGCGCCAATACCACCAGTACCGGGGCTGGCAGCAAAGAAGCAGACTTGATCACCGGGGCAGTCCTATATAATAGTCAATTATATAGTTATAATGAGAAGAATGAAGTAGAATAGTTAAGACTCATACATTGCAGTTGGAGCATCCAAAGACGGTGGTGGCCATGATGGCAGTGAGAGTAAGGACAGAGGCAAAGACCTTCATATTGTCGGTTCGTCGGTAGTAAGAGTTGAAGAGAAGAGTGTTTGTTTTGATGGTTGATAGTGATGTCTTTCAAGTGTAATGTTCAAGGGGATCAAGAAGAGTATTTATAAGTTTGTCAACTCAATATATTAAAATAACTATTGTAAATATAATAGCATTACTAGGCGACCAGACAAACACGCTACACCGCTACTCGTTACTCTGGAATCCTATTTCAAGTTCGGAACATCGGCCTATTTCCGGAGTATACAATAAGCAATACGAGTACAATGCAGTGAAGCAGTAAGACAAACTATACATAGGTGCCCGATGTAACCTGTTGACGTACAATGTATGGCATAGCTTTGTTGCTAAAAAAACACGAGCTTTATAATGTACAGCTACAGCTTGACTGTTATGACTGCGTTGCCATTCGAGGTTGAAATTAAGCCGCTTTTACGTCTATGTTATGTTCTGTTATACCGTAGCGCCAACAGGGCAAAGGATTCAGCCAATCATCGCATTTGAAGCAATTACTGTGTCAGAAACTGCTGCTTATAAAGGAATGTAGTATTGCGATGGATCAGATCGTAACAGTCTCTCGTCAGCCTTATGCTAAATCTAGTAGCTCCCTTGGCAGTTCTCCAGTCTTTAATTATACCATGCAAACCACTTGTCAAGTCGGGGTTTCTTTATTACACCTATTAGACTAGACTTCATAATTAACTTAGACTTTTAGAACTCGGTTTCTTTAGAGGCGGGTAGTTTAACAGGGAAGACTTACCGAAGTCAACCGTAAACTACCCCACTTGCAGGCATCAGGCTGTTGACAATAGTCCCGTCTATACAATATATAATATCAGACAAAATACATCTTCGCACGTCAACTGGAGGGAAAATTCTTCCTCCGTCGCCGTGCGGATGAAGATGACAGTCATGCCGTGGCTTGTCTCTGCATAATACGAGTACTTCTTGTCCTGCCAGTCTGTAGCCGCTTCAAGTGAACTGCTAAACGGCTATATTTCTCTAGTATCTGTTAATATGTAGATGTTGCTACATTCATGTTTTCTCTGAGGTACTGTACTAGCGTTGTTAACGCAACCTGGAACAGTACACGGTCTCTCATGATGCCTACAAGACCAGTCTTGGGCCTGAAAAGTGTGTCCAAAGATGCGACCTAGCAATATGACATATTATATGTAATCTAAGTACCGCACGAGGACATTGACATTTTTCATTCGCTTCGTAGAGGCGGTGAATGCCCGTGCAACTGGAGGTCATTGTGTATTTATCCGTTCAGGCTACAGCTACCAGGTATCTAGCCGAATGGGAATCTCTCGTCCTGGGTGGTTTCACAGCTTCTGAAGGTTTACATGGAACTACAAATGCAAAGTCAGCACAACCTTGATGCCTGAGTAAAAGAAAAGCTAGTCCATACCAGTTCGACAGATTTGCGGCCTGATCTGATGTAGTGGATGTGCTTGTCAATCACTGTCATTCTTGCGTCAGTACAATTCATTCTCCATCAGTTGCAAATGGAGATGGTAAATATGCAAATATGATTGACGATGGTGAAGCATACCTTTGCCCTCGCCTCTCTGAGCCTGGTGATCAGCCAGTGAAGTCCAGCCCAGCAACAAAATGGCAATCTTAGGTTCCGGCTGCTCAACGCCGACATAGTTCACGGGCGTAAGCTCTCCAGTAATGCCGCCACCCATGCCGGGCAGCTTTGCGTCAGAAACAGACTTCAGGAAAGGATCGAGTCGGGCATCAAGATAATCTTCGTCAGCGCCATAGCTAAAGAGGAACTCGGTGCATGGGGCCTCGAGAGGGACGGTAGCGTCGCCGTGGACAGCAGCGCAGGTTAACACCGTAAAGGTTGCCAGCGGCGCGACGTAAGAGGCGGCCCAGTCAGCGAAGTCGGGGCTGGAGTGGAAGTCGTCGAGAGCAGCCTGAGAGGTCCAGCGGGCGACCCACGTGTATTTGTCGGGATTCTCCAGTTGAGGCCCGAAGTAGAAGGCGATGACGCCGGGGGTTGAAGCGAGAGTTTTGAGGTCGTTGAGCAGGGATTGCGGGGGCGAGGAGCCTTCTTTGAGGGTGATTGTTGAAAATTCGAGAAGCTCAGACATGGTTGTGATAATGAGATGAAATGAGAAGGGCTGTTTATGTAAATGTTAAATGATGGATGAGCGTTGGAGTTGAGTTGTAAGAGTTGTGATGCTAGTTGTTGAGGTTAATGCAGAACCTACTACTTGTCTATATATAGTTGAAAGTTAGTTGAGAATCACATCATCTTCTATTGTTGATAAGCAGCGACACCGACCATCCGAAACCGACCGTCCGACACCGATGATCCGACAATTGCTGCATCTCGCAGCAACTTGAAGTTGTCATTTCAAGTTGATTGTTAATACAACATATTTTACTATACTCATCTACACGCACTTTGTTCTCCGTGAGATATGCTATGCCATCTGAACGCCCGCAAAGCCCGAAATGACCGCAAGCGCACCTATTCTTCGGGCTATTTCCCGAAAAACTTGCCCATTTGGGAAATCTCATTTCTAAGCAAATCACCACTATCAGCTATCAGCCGAGGGACGTTACGGAGCACAATTGCTGGCCCGAGGCAAAATGAATGACATGCAGCAGGATGTCAGAGTTAGTTGAAGACCAAGGGCCCATTTTCGACAAGTTCTTTGTAAGTCACTGTATTAGAAATGCAGTCATGCCATCTAAGAGCACGAAAGAAAAGATAACCAGACTAATAAGAGAATGCGAGCTTAGTGGGCCAATGGATAGACGCTACAGAGCCACGCTTGCGGACTTCTGACGAGCTTCCATTGTGTGACCTTCATTCTTTCTGGTGAATGAGACAAGAGGGTCATTCGAGAGTTGTGCTGCGCATGAGGTATCTTTGTGTCTCCCGTATTGCCTCTGTTGCTGTACAGTCGTGGCAAAGAACTGCCCCAAACCATTAGAGCTATATCGCCACATCAACGGCTGACGAGAACAAGTTCTACACACGAAGGAGTGTTGCACTGCCGAGGGCAATGCTGTAAAGGGCCGTCATTCATAGAGAGACCACATAGAATATGAGTTTGGGACCCGGCCATGGTATCGCAGGAGGGCAAGCCTCCCAAGCTGCAGCCTCGATGAAGGGACCATTCAGGGTCTCACAACTAGAAAGCAGGGGCTTCTACAAGCAAACAAACCTGAATCACTCGAGAGTATGGGGAACATCTGGACTGACCTTATACGAAGATACTCTGAGGATATCCAAGTCCCGTACGGCTCATCTGAGGCCCTCTCATGAAGAGCCTCTTGCAAATAGGCACAACTCGCAGAGGCAGAGACGAACTCGGACCCAGATGGAGCCACATTTTGAAGAGAGCCTCAGGACTGGGTATGCCAGCTGGCAAACCTGGAGGGAGGTTGTGAGCCGCCAGCTGGCGAGAGCAAACGGAATTGGGAAGAATCGACATTTCAGATGTATACGGCTGCGCCAGACAACTTACAATATCCCTTTTTTCGCGCTGCTCTGGTCGTGCACCTGCCAACTGCCCCAAGACTGAACGTAAATTCTCGCTTCCCTCCCCGCTCGGAAGAGCTTCATTCTTCTTTCACCTTCTCACCTCGCCACCTTGAGATCATCCACGTCGGCATTCACTTTCTCTGCTTATCCCTCCCAGACTACAAACCTCTTACCACTTCCAAAGCGATCACCACGCGGCCTGCAACTGGGCGAGACAAGCTTGACATGGACCCCGAATCCGAGCATGCTGCGAAGGTGGCTCCAGCTGGCAACCGCACATTGGATGATATCCTCCCGCACTGGGAGCGGGCCATGACCCTGGCCCCAAAAGAGACCTCGAAGCCAATCAACTTCAGACACGACCAGGACTACCCAAAGTACGAGAATATGATACAGCACTGGGAAAACTTTGTGAATGCAAACCCGCCGCCCGAGGTCCATTTCTATTGGAAAGAGGGACTGGAAGAGGCAAAGGAGATGTTTACGCTGGGCCCGAAGACGACCTATGAAGCGAGGAGGCTGGTGAGAGGAATAATCGAGGACAGCGAGAGCGATCTAGTCTTGGTGATGCACAAGTTATTCAGTGCTTCTCCAGAGGACCCCATTTCGGAGAAAGACGTGTGCGAGACACTCCCACTGGCGTTGGCTCGACGGATGGGCATGGGACGCCCTCGGGACGACGAGTTTTCGGAATTGCACCTCCAACCACACCTACTTTGGGAAGACTACTTTGCTCCCAAGCTCCAGCAACAAAGGCCCGACTCTATGACCCCGATATACGCCAGCAACCTCCTCCTGCCATACGTGGTGTGGACCTGAAAGACCTGGAGTCTAGCCAGGCTATGAAGCGGAACATCAGAATCTGGTATCGAAAGATGGAGGAGTCATTGAATACGAACCATTACGCTGACTGGATGAAGGCATGGAAGGAGGAGTTCCCGGAGGTAGCAGACCTAGCCAAGGAACGAAATCCATTCTTAAGGGCATGGGTTGAGTCTGAGGAATTAATGATAGAAGAGCTTAAAGGAGAGCTTCGAGAACCGGAGCCTCAGGAAAGAGAGAATAGGGCAGCAAACGGGGGAGAGATTGGACAAGAGATGGGTGTCCTTCATGCCTCCCCTGACATGGTACCAGAGGAGCCGCTTGGAGGAATGGAGCTATCCGATGCGGACTGGGAGGACGTAATGGACATGTCTTAACGAGATCCTATATTGGGGAGCGGAGGGGGCGTCAGATTGAAGGAGATAGGATGCTGGGATCTCTCTGGGATATCTATGGGTGCTGGGCCTACTTGGGGAGTCTCGGGGACGGTTGGTATGGATCTGATTGTCACTGCTTGGAATACGGCTTGGGGGGAGGCATGAGTGATATGGCTGCATCGTTTTCTTATTTTCTGAGCCAGGTATGAGTCTATTGCTGGATTGCTTTCTTCGTCTCTGCTGGACCAGGCATGAGCCGTGGTATATAGTCATATTGTTTGGGGGTAGGACCGATCAATCAACTTATCATCTGCTTGCCGACCCTGCTTCTAACAAGCTCTTTGTTGGTGCCCTCTTTCCTCAATGTTCCCAATGGACAAAGACTACAGGCCCAGCCGGCTGTTGTCTACGAGTAGTAGCAGTAGATACTCAAAGACATGGGCATTTACCTCAGTAAATAGCAGTACCAGGCATCTTGGGGTGCTGAAGAGAAGTATGTTGAAGGAATACGCTCAAAATACAAAGAAATGAAGACAACGGCAAGAATCGATTCGTGCTTGAGAGATTGTCGAGCACCGAAGAAACTAATGTCCTTCTAGTAAAAGGTTACCCCAAGCATCAACTGTAGCTAGTAAATCGCAGTCCAAATAATATTCCCCCCAAGCAAAGTCGAGAATAACCCCCTCCCCTTTTGGCCCATCGACATATCATAACCGCAGAAAGAGTCGCAAAATCTTTCCCGCTGAACCCAGATTCATCACACCTCCTCGCTCCAAAGCCAATCATCCTGCACCTCTACCCAACCACAGAACTCCTCGCCCAATGTGGCACGCATTTCGCGAGTGGGATGCTTGCCCAACAATTCAGGGAAATCAAGTCTCAATTTCTGGCGCCAGGCTCGAAACCGATTCATCCGCAGACAGGTCTTGAACTTCCCATACAATTCTTCCACTGACACCTGCACAGCTTCATATCCTAGGAAATGTCGTCCCACATGCATGAGTTGCAAAATGTCATTGACCAATGCGCAAACTGACACCATTTGCCGTGTGGTGGCTAGAGGCATGAAGTAACTCTGCCAGACGTTGTCTGTCGAGTTGTCTGGTTCTTTCATGCCTAGTAGCCGTCCAAAGATCAACGGTATCTTCCGCTCAAGGTCCTCCTGCCCAATGACACCATACCAGCTCGAGAGTCCTGGGTTCAGTTTCCATTCCAAATCGCAAAGGTCGATGCTCTCGCGATTGCGGGCCTTGGCAAACAGGCGTCGCAGTGCAGAAAGGGAGCGTTTTCCTTCGGGTAGAGTGCTTGCTTTTTCAAAAGCTTCGTGCCACGACACATGTATCTCCAGTGGCATGGTCTTCCAAAAGTTCATGAGCTCATCGAATCTCTTATAGTCCCGTTCCGCATCCATTTCCTGCGACATAAACTCCCAAAGGGTCGTAAGCTTTTTGAACTTTTCGTATTCTGGCTCCGTCGTGTCTTCTTCCATCTTCCTGGCTATGGTGAATCTCTGTCACACTCGCGAGGTGGTGATGCTAGTCCCAAAGGCTGACCTGTAGCGGAGGTCGCTTCAAAGAAGAGAGGAAGAAACAAGGTAGAAGCAAGTTGGCGTGGTGTAGGCTAGGGGGAGAACAAAAATGAAGTGGGTTGGGATAGAGAAGAAAGAGAAGAAGGACGGAGAAAGAGGAGCACGAGAGAAGAGAAGAGAAGAGAAGAGGGTTTAAATAGGCGCAGCGGTCGGGCATCCAGCTGGCAGCTGGTCAGTCGGCAGCTGGCAAGCAACTGTTAAGATATTGATGAGATACTCTGGGTTTACAGTGGCAATATAGTTGACCTCAGTCTCACCAAAGGCTTTTGGAAAGAGACATGTGTTGACTCCCTCGAGGGCTGACTTCGCGATGACCGGTCCTGATTCTGTGCCTCAACACGATGGTGCAGAGACTCTACTCCTCACAGCGCCATACTCGACAGCACAAACCGGGTTTGAGAGAAAGCTGTTTATTTACTGCTACAGGCAGTAAACAAACACCTCCTCTATCTTCTACTATGACTATACTTCTCCGCCAGTATCTGTTAGAATAGCTATATTCTCCCAGAATCCGTTGCTACAGATGTATTTCTCTCATATTTCTCTAGCATTTATTAGATACTAATTATATTCACATAGTGTTCGGTATTATTTGCGCTACGGGATGCTGAGTAGCAAAGTAAGGTGCTAGAGAGGCATCCTCTGGTAAAATCATCCAGAATGAGAGGGCTTCCATCAGATGGATTCTTGCAAGTCGCTGCTTGAACACGTCCACGTAGAGAGCGGCTATCCAACTTCTCACCATGGATATCCCAAGCCGCATAGCACAACGCACATACCATTTATCAGGTATTGCTGAACATCAGATACCACAGGAACATAGGTATCAGGCGATAATAACAGGTAGTGGAACAAACTACCCAGCAGTCTGATGGTGGATAAAAGACACTTCCTCTGCATCTCATCACGACACCAAAACTCTCGTCGCCGGGACGTTAGATAGCCAACTCATGGCACTGGTTTGTTATTTGAGTCTGAAGAAAAGAGCAAACAGAAAACCCCAAGAAAAGCAAACGGGGAATACAAGAGAAGCAGAGAGAAATCATTGCATATTATAGAACATCTGTACTTTTTTTGCAGTCCCGTGGCATCATGTCAAATGATGGCCCATCTCCTTATAAAAAGCCAGTTTCGCAGACTCCCATTTCTGATAAAAATCAAATAACGTCAAAACCTGCCCTCAAACCATCAACTATCCCATTGAGCTCCGTTCTAGTCTTCGTCACTATCTGCCCCCCCGACTTCTTCCACCCCCTAGATCAGTCCCAGTCACAGTAGACATCCCGTTTCTAGACTGCTAAAGAGAGGGTTGAAAACTAAAAAAATCAAAAAAGGAAAAGGAAAAGGAAAAAAAGAAAACCGAGTATCTGTAGCTGCCATGATCATATAGCCTCTCATTGATTCCTTATCAACACGTTACAAAGTGCATCTAGCCCGGCCCAGATCCCTTGCCTCATCGTCGTCAGCTTCATCACTACGTTGGCCTTCCCGGTGCTCGCCTGTATTCCAAGGCGCAGCAACCTCGTCGTCCTCGTCGCCCGCTGCAAGTGGTTAAATTCGGTGTTTTTCCGATTCTGTCGCTCGCTACAGGTTAGAAGCTTAGGCTCCCGTGGATCGGTTTTGCGTCTCACCAAGTCGAGAGTACAGCATGTAGAGGGCCATGCGGTTGCACTCCTCCGTTCCCGTAATCGTTACTAGCCGCTCGTTGCTGTTGTCCTGGGGCTCGTTAATCTTAATCACGCTGCCGCTCATCTGTCGTATCTCATTGATCTTCTGGCCTCCCTTGCCGATGATGGCGCCGACCATGTCGTTGGGAATGTAGATTTGCTGGGTAATCGGTCCTCCAGGCATGCCGGCGTGCATGGGCTGGCCCTGGGGGGCTCCGTGCGCCTGAGGGCCGGTATGGGGTGCCATGTGAGGCTGTACGTGAGGCGCGGCCGCTCCATAGGCGGCAGGCTGGCCCGCTCCGTACTGCATGGGGATCGCCGGGGTGCCGTGAGGAGCACCGTGAGGGTACGGTTGGGGGTAGGGCGCGGGTGGCATGTGGTGAGGCCGGCGCTCTTGATGCCGGCCGTAGTTCTCTGCTCGTCCGTAGTGCCCTGATGCAGGCTGGGGGCTGTAGGGGACAACTTGCATACCGCCGGGGATGGACCCCACGGGAGCGCCGCTTCTGGTCGCATATGCAGACGCGGCCGGTCCACCGAATCGCTCATTGAGCTGCTCAAGCAGAGTGCTGCCGACATAGTAAGTGGCAATGTGTACTGCGTCGGCAACGCCCATCACAACGAGGGAGCGCTCGCTCGACATGGGGAGGCACGAGTCTGAGGCATTCAGCCGGGCGCCCGACGCTTCCTGGATTTCCCGGATACGAGAACCGCCCTTGCCAATAATAGAACCGATCAGGATATGGGGAATCAGAAGACGAAGGGGATATGTCTTGGAAGAGGCAGTAGATGCCTCGTTGAGCGGCTCATTGTTCAATGTTCGTATAATCAAACCAAAAGCCTGTTAAAGGAGAAAGAGAAGAAAGAGAACGGAATGTTAGTCCAACAGCTTACAGGAAAGTTCACGAGAGGGAAAGGGGATCTATTCCTACCTTGGCAACTGCATCGACGATGCCACTGACAGTCAAGATGCGCTCGACAGCTCCTTTTTGATAGTCGCTGACGGTGCACTTGGCGTTGGACATTTTCCGAATGTTAGATACGTTCTCACCACCCTTGCCAATGATGGTGGCAGCCTCCGGACTAGAGATGACTGCTCGAATATGGATCCACGAGCTCTCGTCATGAGCGGCAGCCGAAGCAGCCACAGCAGATGAAGCCTCCGTTGATATCGCTACAGTGGGAGTGGCCTTGGCATTGGTGCCGGCATCGGTTGCAGGGGCCGAGTCCTCAGTTGCGGCGACGCCGTTGGCGCTTTCTTCGCCATTCTCCTCTGCAGTCTCGACGGGTAGCTCAGGTGCGAGATCCAGCTTTTCCGTCTCTTCGTCATTCTTGGATGTCTTGTCCAGGGCGGGTCGCTTGGCCTCAGGCTGGTCGGTGGCTCGGGAGGGCGAGGAGGCCTCTTCGAGAGGGCGCTTTGCCGATTGAGTAGGTTGTGGGGGTGAGGCAGACATTGTGATTTGCGTTGGGTTGAGTTTTATGTTGTTTGCAAAGGAACAGTGTGGTTCACAAAAGTTGGAACGAATTAAGTATCGTCTAATTGGCGATGACCAAAGATCTTGTGTCTTCTCGTCGCTCTTTTTTTATTTTTTTTTTTCCTTGTTTCGATTGTTTATATCTACACTCAGGGGGTTTTCGAAGGAAAACGTGCTGGTGTAGTGGCTGGAATCGGTGATGATAAGGATCGGCTTTCTCGTGTGTGTAGGATTCGTGATGTGACTTTGGTGGTGTCGCAAAAGGGCGCTGCCCAGGCTGTGTGTAGCGGAGTAGATAATGGGAGGAGTTGTGTTCTCAAAGGGTGCAACTCTCTTCTTCCGCGTCTAGATGATCCAGAACTTTGGCAAAAAAAGGTGTCGGACTGCTAGGGATCTTCGGTGAACGTCCAAATGGTGAACGGGAAGAAAGGGCGATGATGAAAACTGAGTGGCTGATGACAAAGTGGTGGTGATGGAGAGGATTGGTGCAGCGAATTATCGTTACTGGGACAGGTGTCTCGAAAGCAGAGAATGAAGAGACAATGCGCTCAGCTCAAACCTTGATTTCCTTCTTGGCAAGACCTTGTGAGTTCCCGTAACTGGCGCTCAACGCAAGAACCAACCAGCACCTCGCGCGTTTAAAGTTAGTGATCGATCGACGGCCCGTGTCTCTCGATTGTGGAGGAGTCGCCTCGACGATTGCAATAGATTGCACGTGGTTCGCTAACGTGACGGCTTCCGATGAAAGGGACAGGCGAACAAAGCGGAAAGAAAAGAGACCAAAGCTGCTTTTCCAGCCAGCAACTCCAGGCAAGGCTACAGGTAGCTAGAACACGCGGACAAGCACACGTGGAGGTGACCTAGAATCAGCGGCGGAACGGAATCTCGCAGGGCGCTGGGGCAATGCCACAAGGACGCTGGTGCGATCGGATCGATGGCGTCGGGCTGGGCGCGTCGCAAGACAATGGTGAGGAGAAGATGCGGCGGATGAAGGAAGAAACTTTGATGAGACGTCGGGGTAGAACAAAAAGGCCCATCCCTCCCTTGCTGGAGGTCGCCCGCGGCGTTATCACGTGATGGCCCCGATTGGGCGACTGTATGCGCGACACTAGGCCGCCAAGAACAAGGTGCGGCTCGGGCTGCACAGTGCGGAGTGCGCCACGTCGCCGCATCTCCAGGCGATTGGAGGAGATTACAGCGGACAAGGAGCTTTTTCGGTGGGGAGAGTCGCGCCCCCACAGGACCCGGACGCATTGTCAGCGCTGAAATCGAGTTGCTGCAGGGGGAAACCCACACAGTTTGAAAACTGTGCAACCCGTACCTCGATCTAGGCCGAGCAGCTTCTCGGAGCATATGCGCACCCACCATAGGCTAAAAGATGAAGTCAGAGGCACGCGAATCTACCAAGTAAATACAGGCCATGGACGACAGATCGCGCAACAGCTCAGAAGCCCAGGCTCATGCCACCAATATCGATCACACACTGAAGGAGCTCCAACGGAAAGTCCGTGAATATGAAGCTCAGCTGAACGAGGTAGCTATAAGTGCATTGCTAGAACGCACGCGAGACGGCGTCTAACACAGCAATCACAGTTGCGCTCCGCAGAGCTCGAGACGCCCAGCACTGCTGCCGGCCAAGCCCAACTTCTCAAAGCGGCCTTTGACGAAGTCACCAACTCTGAACCTTTCCTCCCGTTCCCAGGATCAGTGCTCCCGGCACTGCTAGCCCTACGAAAGACACACCAGACGATTCAAGAGTCAAAGGCATTCTTAGCCTCACAAACAGAGTCAACGGAGAGGGAACAAAGGCAATTGAAGCAAGATGAAGCTGCGCTGAAAGATCACCAGCTCCTCAACGAAGCTCTTAAGCAGAGGATCGAGTCGCTACGCAATGAAGTCGAATCGGGAACCAACACGCAACCAGAGGAAGAAGCGCGCAAACGAATCGAGGAACTACGACGAAAGAAACAAGGCTACAACAAAGAGACGAGCAAGCTGATGAAAGCCCTCAACCGCTTCATTGACGACCACTTGGCGGTAATGCTCGCAGCTGAGGCTCTGGGCGGACCTGTGGTAGGAGACCTGATGGACATTGACGCCCAAGATCTCGCCGCGGGGTTCAACGCGCAGGGGAAACTGAAGAAGCCAAAGGGCGAAATCAACAAAGACAAGAGCCAACGCCGGATAGACGAGATTTGGGGCCCGAGCGACGGCGACGGAGCTGGCAGTGGCAAAAAGACAAAGCCGAGGGACGCAGCTTCGGCGGCTGGGACAGAGATGCGACAGCTTACGGAGGAGCTGCTCAACAGGCTTGTCGAGGCAAAGGGCAGCAGCTCGGATGCCTACGTGAAGCTGCCGCACGAGACGGCGGCGGCGAGGTTTCTCATTAGGTCCAAGGTTGCGCAGTTCCATCCCAGGGATGCTACCAAGATACGACTGGTTGATTTTGGGCGGGAGCTGGATGATTAGACTATCTTAAGATGCATGTTGGATAGGATACGAAAGACAATGACAAACAAACCAGCTTTTGAATAACACACCTCACTACTAAGCCAGTTGCAACTACTATCACTATATTTTCCTAGTGCCTACTGCTACAGCTATATTCCTCTCGTTTCTGGCTATATCACTAACCAACTATCCGTACTGTGAAGCTTTAACAATCCACGACACGGGATGCTAGAACAGCCAACTCCGGGGTGCTGAATGAGCTCTCCCTTGCATAACACACTTGATTATGCTCAATGCTGTCTTGATACCCAATCCAACAAACACTACAAAATCCTCCGTAACCCAATCCAATCACATCCATCTCCTTCGTCCCAGCCCAAATGCAAGGGAGAAATCCATAAGCCCATAAGACCAAAAGCCAAAAGCCGCCCTGTGAGACGCAAAAACCCCCCCGCCTCAATTGGCCCAATTTCTCTCTCCCCCACCAAACCAACAAACTCTCAACGCGTCGCGTCTCTCGCCCCTCCAATCCCCAATCCCGCCAGACAGAAACGCTTTTTCTCACCGACTTCCTTTTTCCAGCCTTGCACTACCAACGAAAATCGTAAGTAAGCCGGGAAAAAGCAAACATAGCTATTTTGCCCTTTGATTTCCTCTCCTCCTCTAAATAAAGCCCATTCCTTTCCAACTGCTAGTTTCCCACACTCATCACCTCTCTCTCGCAAGCTTTCTTACAACCAAAAACCCTCCAATTCCATTAATCCAATACCAATCATGTCCGCAGTCCCCGAAAACGGCACAACCTCCCCTCCCGCGAAGCGCATCAAGACAATCTCCGACGCAGAAACAATCCCCGAACCCGCCGCCGTCGAAGAAGCCGTGGCAGCAGCAGTAACACTAGCAACAACTACAATGGAGGCCACCCCCGTCCCCCTGCAAGTCAAGAAGCTCTCGCCGCAGGCCAGACTTCCCACGCGCGGCAGCGCCTTTTCCGCTGGGTACGACTTGTACGCTGCGAGGGACACTGTCTTGCCGGCGAGAGGAAAGGGTCTTGTTGATACGGATATTAGCATTGCCACGCCTGCGGGGACATGTAAGTCAAGCACCAACACATTCCATCTATGACAGAAGAAGGGGGAAGAGAACGAAGGCTAATCACAATGGATCGCTATAACAGACGGCCGTATTGCTCCCCGCTCTGGCCTTGCGTCCAAGCACTTCATCGACACTGGTGCCGGCGTCATCGACGCAGACTACCGCGGACCCGTCAAGGTTCTTCTGTTCAACCATGCGGAAACCGACTACGAGATCAAGGAGGGCGATCGAATTGCCCAGCTTGTGCTGGAGAGAATCGTGACGCCCGACGTCGTCGAGGTGGAGGAGCTGGAGGAGAGCGTCAGGGGAGCTGGTGGTTTTGGAAGCACTGGCAAGAACTAAGACAGGAATAATACAATGGGGTTTAATAGAACGTTATTACGATACGATACAGAACAAGGGAAAAAGAAAGCTGTGCCGACTCGGAGTCGGGTGCAGAATATAGTGCTGGAAGAAGACAAGACAGCCGTCCCGGTTTAGGTCTATAACAATGAATACTAGAAACAAAAAAAAAAAAGACTTGGTTCTACGCCGCCCGCCTCACCCTTCCATCTATGTCCAATTCGCCTTTTTCCTTGATGTTTTGTATCAACCCCCCGATCTAAATCTTCGTCGCCGAAAATGATACGCTCGGGGTCCGCAGGCTATCCAAATTGGTAACCAACTGCAGCTCCGCCGCCTTCGACTTGACATAATGCGCCTTGGTCTCGTCATTCCTATCTTCCGGCCGCAGCAAAGCCCACGTCCTCTCCATCACCTCCGGCATCGCATCCCGCGTGTTAGCCAAAACCTGATGCATGCTAGCCAGCACCTTTTCCGCCGCCCTCGCCAGCGGCAGATCCGTCGCTGCAACATCGTCGTCGCTAAGCCAGCTGGCGCGGCTGCTCAAGCCAGGAACGGCGTTGGCGGCCTCTCGAATGCGGCTTGTGATGAGGGCGCCGAACATGTCGCCCGTGCCGCAGAAGTAGCAGTCTATGGACGGGAAGACGATTTTGAAGGGTCGGGCCTTGCGGTCTGAGGTCATGGTGGAGCCGATGACGGTGAGGTGCGAGGGCGGGTGGCCCGGGGTTGTGAAGCTGACTGAGGTGATGATGATGTGAGGGATGTTGAACTTGTCATGGAGGACCTGGATGGCTTGAGTGAGGCTATCCATATCTACAATCTTGACGTCTGAGAGTTGTCTATAAGCGAAAGAGTTAGGTTAGTAATGGGCTTGTGAACGTCAAAGCTGACAACACAAGATGATACTCACTCGGCTTCAAACTGGTTCGGCAGTATCAGATCCGCATATGGGAGAAGAGCTTTGTACGCAGGCACAACCTCCGGCGCCACATATAGCTTTCCATTGTCTCCCATGACAGGATCCAGCACCCAGAAGAACTTGCCCGGGGAATTCTGGAACTTCTCCTTGAGTCCCTTTGCAATCGTACCCACCGCCGTGACTCCCTCTGCGCCCGGGATGTAGCCAGTGAGCATCATGTCAAAGTCATCCAGGTACGACTGCTTTAGACCGTTGTAGAGATCGGTAATCTCCTGTGCCGTGGCCCTCGTTCCTGTCCATTGTCTGTAGCCCGTGTGATTACCTATAAGGGAGAGACGCAAAAGTGAGTCAGCATTGCCTCGTGGCCGTAAATCCTCTCGCACAATTCCGGGTCAACTCACTGAACTGCACCGTATTCAGGGCAGCGACGTCGAATCCCAACGATTGGAGCACGAAGACGGCGACCTTGTTTCCCACGTTGCTGAAAGCCACGTTAACTCAACTGCCCGCAACATCTCATGGACTAGCATTTTCACGCTTGCTTTCTATTTCCAAGTCATACCCTGAGACAACCTGCGGAAACGACACAGTCAGCCGGCTCAAAACCACAATGAAATCTCCAAAGGCTTCATTGAAATATGAAATCGACTTACATGGCTTGCAACTGCCAACACTCGTGGCGGAAGCAGTGAGTCAGAAGACATTATGTTCCTTTTTGTGTATGAGACTAAGAAAAAGCACTTTTGCCGCGCGCCGAGATCCGGAGGATTGCAACGTTTGCCTTGAAACTATATGTTAGAGGAAAAGACAAAAAAGAAGCATAAGGGAGAAATAGAAATAGTGTGCAATGACATAAAGGGGGCGAATCTGGTCCAGGCGTCTTTGATCTCACTCAAGGCTGGGTCAGACTGGCGAGGATCAGAGTTGGATGAATAATAAACTGACGTTGCCGGGATCCCCCATGCGAAAGGGTCCCGCCGTCAGCGGAGCGAGCTTAATGCCACAGAACCGCGGTGAGAAAAAAAAGGCACGCGACTCACCACTAGTATCCGTCAAGGAGAGCAGACGCCCGTTTCTTTTGCTGAGGCGACAGCCGCATAGAAAAACTCAAAAAAAGCAGGGCGTATGTCTGAGAGCTAGCAAAAAGGGCGCCAGAGACAGAATCATATCACGGGGGGTTAGGAAAAACGCCCCGCCGATGGCCGAAGCTACGATCCGGTCTAAGCCGCTTGTATGAGCGTCTGCTCCAGATAAGCATCAAGGAGCAGGTTAGGCGTCAAGAAGAGAAGAGAGAAGAGGGATAAGGGCACGGTGTAAGAATCAGTCCATAAGGGACTTGACAAGATTGTTGGAGATAATTATCGGCAGGCAAGACTAAAAGCTAAACACGTGCTCGTTTCATTTTTCTTTTTGCTACAGATCATGATTAGAAAATAAAAGGAAAAAGACCTTTGACAATATTCTCGATATCCATTTCTCCTCTCTCTGTCATCGTCGGGGAGTCGACCAGCCACGATTGAAGGGCTGTGTCGTTTCCTGCCTATGGCCCGGTCTGGTTTATGCGGAGGTTGTGTGTTGGGTCGTCTGAATCGGGAGTGTGGGTGTAATTATTTACTCGTCATCACCAATCTGACTCCACGTTAGTATGTTACATTTCAGTATTGGAGAGCGAAGGAAAAGACAAACCTTTGGTGCAAGGTAGAAGCGCAGGTAGCTGCTGCCGGAGAGGTTGTACTCAACCAAGAGCGGCACCTCGCTGGAGAGGCAGATTTTGACCTGGGTGGACAAGGCAGCAGCCTTGCAGAAGTTGACCAGGTACTTGAGGGAAAAGGTCAGGGACACGGGCTCTGTCAACTCAATGTCGACATTGTTCTCGGGCTTTTCAATGGAGGTGTGGCTTCTCAGAGTGACGGAGCCATTACCAATGTCACCGTTGCAGGAGAATTTAACACCATCCTTGGAAGCCTCAATGCCAACTGCCAGCAAGATTCGATGTTAGCTTCAGCATTATTTCATAAATACGCACACACTTTCTCTCAAGTGATAGGTGCAGAAGCGTTATTCTTGTTCCATACCTGACTCTGACATGGCTGCCAGATCTGTGCAGATTCTTCGGAACTCGGCCGAAGGCATAGTAATTGTGGCCGCATACTCGGTCTCGGGAATGCCCAGGTGCTCCTGGTCAATGTCCATGAGCTTGAGGTCGTACTCGCTGATGCGGTCCTCTCCGCTGCTCTCAAACAGCAGGTTCATGACATCCGGAGCGTCCTCCGCCTTGATCGTCAAGATATCATCGCTCTGGGCGGCTCGTAGCACCTTTGTGAGAGACGTCAGGTTGACACCAAGAGCAATGTTGCGGTCGCATCGGTATGGCGAGAAGCCCTCGGCCTTGAGCATCATCGACACGAGGGCGACATGCGAGTTATCCATGGCCTGCAGCGCGATGCCGGAGTCATTGCAGTCAAAGTTGCAGTCTTGGACGAGGTCCTTGATGGCATCAACCACCTGCGGGAATCAATTTCGTGGTCAGCAACGGGTCATTGGCCAAGGACGAGGAAAAGCGTCTGGAAAGACGTGGGATTGGGTCAATTTACCTTCTTCAGGATGCTAGCCTGTTCCAACCGTGCCTCCAACATTTCTGCCGCGTGTTAGCTATGCTTTTGCCGTTGCTCTGAGGCTTGAATTGGGCAGTTTGGGCGTGGGAAAAAAAGAAAGAGGGGATGCACGCAATCTGCTGCAGGGCTGAGCACCTACTGGATGGATGTGTAAATTAAGTAAAGGATAGAGTTGTAAAAGAGAGAAGAATTGGGTCGAATCTGAAGGAGAGGCAGAGACAATCGGAGCGTTACTGCAGTGCCGGAGTCGCAGGTGTTGGTTGGTGAAGAAGTAAAATGCACGTCTTGGTGGAGGCGAAGCTCGAGGTAGCAGGCAGAAAAAGCACTTAACACGAGAGCTGTGGGCAAGTCGAGACGCGTCTGGCTGGAGGGAGACGCCAACCTTACGCGGGGCACATTTTAGTGCCCAGCTGAATGCGAGGTACCTTGCGTGCCGTGGGTTGGCAGCCTACACGCGAGGTATCATCCATCACTGCTGCTGCTGAAAGCTACATAGCTCTACCATGTGCTGTAGGCATCTGCACAGGGGAGCACCACCTATGCCTACAGCCTACAGCCTACAGGGGACGCCAGAGACACTATACAATTTTGGGTATAATCAAGCGTGACAAACATGGAACTCCTCGCGTTGGCAGACGCAGGGACAGCAGGAAGGGGAGAGATCCATGTACAAGACAATATCCATAGCATAAAGAGATGAAATACATAAGTAATGGATGATGAGAGCATATATATAACCTCCCACTCCAGTTCCCTGGTCTAAAAAAAAAATTGCATCCGCGGCAGTCAATTTGGTGGCTCCATCCATCATCCCATCTATGCGCATGCCGAGATAATCTGCCAAATGTTTAGTACATACATAGCTATATACAAAGATTGTAGTGCGTTTCGATCCCATCATACGCCTTGTCTAAACGAGTCCGAGTCAGTCAACACCAAAAAACAAAAAGACATCTGCCGCCGCCACCAAACTGACCGGGCTCTAGAGTAATAATCACAACAAATGATACAAAAGCAAGCACCCCGAACCCCCAGCCGTTGCACCGTGTCTTGCCCCATTGTATGAAGTAGAGAAAGGAAAAAGTAACCAAAGACAGATCAACAAAAAAAGAAATGTAAACTGATAACGAGAGATGTGATGCTGCCATGCGCCTGTACATGTAACGTAAAATGTAGGAAAGAAATGGTTCGTCGTCGAGACTTGTGTGTGAATCGAGTTCACATCGAGACCTTGCGGGTTCCAGCAGGAGCACTGCTTCGTTTCTGGGGCCGTAGGCTGATGACTGTTTCCAGCTCTCTCAGCATGCCCTTGGTAGCCTCCAACTGCTGTCGTGCCAACGCCCTCTGCTCCCTCTCTTCTTTGACCTTTGCAATTCTCTCCTCTCGCGTCAGCAAGCTGCGAGGTCGCGGCTTTGCGACGGCTTCGAAGATCTCCTGGTCCTCTTCGGCGTCGTTGATATCTGACGCCGGCGGGGACTCGCCAGTCAGAGCCTTGAAGGCCTCTGCGGCACCTCCTTCGCCTATTGTAGTGAGTCCGCTCAGGGAGCTAGCGGGCGATAGCAACGTGCTTATTGATGAAAGCCTCTTCTCGTTTCTGTCAATGCCCTGGGCCAAAGCGGCCCTGCCTTCTTCCCACGCCGCCATGAGCATTCTGAGGTCCACTCCAATGGAGTCATACTGCGACATGAGATTAGGGCCCAGTTCGGAGATGTCGTTAGAATCGTCCAGCGCCCTGTCCGATTCTTCTCGTAGCAGGTGAAGTTTGGCTTGCAAGCCTCGGATTCCGGTTGACATGGAACTGAGCTTGCGCAGCTGGGAGCGCCATCGCTCTTTGCCCGGCGTAAGGGGCATCTGTGGAGTTGGTGGTGCGGGAAACGCTATAATTCGTTAGAAACTTCGCCTATATCACGAGGGATCTTGAAGAAAGGGAGGGGGAAAATAAGCCGCTCACATTCTTCCTCGCTTAGTATCCCTTGCAGCTTCTCAAATACAGACTTGGTCGAGATGTTGACGCTTTGCAGCGACTCCACCGCAGCTGTCCAACGCAGCAGGTCTTTGGCCTCCCCATTTGCATCCAGAGCCAACAGGGCGCAAAGGAGCATCTTTCGAGTGGTATGAAACCGCGCGGCAAGAATTTTCAACGTTCTCAGCGATTCCAGGTCGTCAAACTCGGCCGCATTGAAACCCAGGCGGGAATCTGAAATATCAAAGTCGCTCACGTCGTACATGTCGTAGTACTTCTCCAGTTCCATCTGCTCAGCAAAGCCCCTGACAACATCAGACACCTGGTTGTACGTCTGCAGAACCTCTGCAAGCGAGTTTTTGAGCGCCCTTCGTAGCCGAACACATTTTCTGCTTTGGGTACGATCCTCGAGCCGACTGACCGGTGGAAGGGGGACACTACTGTAAGGGTGTCAGTTTGTGATATATATAAATTACAGCCATGACTTGAGAGGTCGTGACTGTTAGAGAAGAGAGAAAACTGACATTCGGTATCCACGCGAGACCAGCTCAACTTCTTGGACAAGGGAGAGTGTAGCTTCGGTTGCGCTATCAAAGTTTTGCGAGTTCGAAATGAATGTGGATATCTCAGATAAGGACTGTTCTCTCCGGTAACGAAGCCACTGTCGTCGCACAAAGACTTGTCCTACCAACACCGCCGCTGCAGCAATAATAAGCACCAATATTAGGCGTCGTTTCGTCACATGCCATGGCGCACTACTCAGTGCCCAGCTTAGGAAAACTGCGAGAGCTAGCGCTCCGACGACGGACACTATAATACCTTCGGTCGAGAGCAGAGATTGGTCATTGCTGTCTGTGGTCGAGGACGGCGTTCTCAGGGCCGGTGGGCGGTGTCCTCCTAGCAGGGAATGGCCGTTGAGCAGCTGCGAGGCAATGATTGTATATCTGAATTGTTCGAGGAACCGGGCGTTGTCTGCACGATCGAGGCTCGCAGCCAAGAGGGCCTACATGGTATGGTTCAACCCAGGTTAGCTCATGAGGTGTGTGTGGAGCAGGAGCGGTGAAGCTTCCACAGCAGGTGTTCAACATACAGAGCAGCTCTTCTTGAGTGATTGCAGCGTCAAGGGCTGCTGGGCCTGTGGCTGCTGCTCGGCAAGATCCAGCTTGCTGGGAGCATTGCGAAATCGAGCCTTGACCAAGGGACGGCCGGACGGCGCAAAGGGAGTCGGGCTCGCAGGACGCGAGGAATCGGATGCTATCGACATCTGCTGATCGGGAGTGCCGTCCATGGGAGCCCATTCCGCCTCCGACAGGTTACCTCCATCTTCACAAATCACATCGACCGGTCAGCATGCGCAGGATTCAGGGGCGACCAGGTGGAAGCTTCAACATACCTCTGAGGTAGTCGGCTAGAGGCGTCTCTTCATAAACCACGGGCTCCATCAGCGATTTTCATAAGCGACTTTCGAGGTTGGACAGCAACAACGAAGGGACACGCAGAGCCATGGAGCCCGCAGCGAGCTAGGCAGTCGAGGAATGCGATGGTGGATATGGGTGAAGCTATGGTCCTAGAATGGGATGCGATGTATGTAATGCGATGTAATGCGACGAGATGCGATGAGCTGATACAAGTACGTACAGCGCAAGCTCCGGACAAGCTCGGTGGTCCTTGTGCTGCGCCTTTGTATATTGTTTTGTTTCGAGCTTTGTTTTTGTCTTTCGCTTGCCTCGTTGTTTGGTTTCAGGGAGAAGTCAGTGAAACAGAAGAGAGTGTCTCTTTTGATGTTCAGGGGAGGGAAGCGAAAGCGGGTTTGGCGGTTCGCGTGCCCTGCGGACTAGCGAATGCAAATAACCAGCAGCTTCACAGTCGCTTGCGGTCGCTCGGGATCATGTGCAAGGATGGATCGGCCATGCATGGATCTGCCCCGTCAGCTCATTTGGAGCTCCGAGATTGGAAGACGGGGGCTGCGTGTGCTGAGTGAGGCGGTGCGATGTGTTAATGTTAATGTCACTGACACCTTGGCGGAGGTGCGCTCGATACTTTCTCCATATTGCATGTCGCATGCGTCCCGATTGGTGCATGACATGCGACCTGTATCAGGCAGTACGTTCTACAGTAAGGAGACGGTACGGGGGGAAACGAGGACCCTTGTGTAGGTACATGGCCCGTGCAAATTGCAACCCGGTGCTCCATGCCATGGGAAATGCTGGCTACCATCACCCCAACTCTGCTATCCGGCATCCCATGTCATTTTATTTTTAACTGGTACATAAGTGATATATATATAATAATATCAGAGACTACCAATAGAGAAATATAGCTACCTATATAGCAGCAACTAAATTACAATATCGATAGTAGCGGATATAGAGGTACTTGAACTCGGGCAATCGCTGGGGTGCTGGACCCCTAGAGGCTAGCAGAGTTGGGATGCTGTCAGCATTTCCCCGTGCCAAACATACCTCACCTGGTACCATCCGGAGTACATCCGTGGAGTACATCCGTACCCTCTATACCTGTCCTTTGGCCTCCACCCGCCCCCACCGGAACTACAGTTTTTCCCGACAGCCCGCGGGCAACCAAACCCATGTATCGAATTCTCGATGGAAGCTTCCAAGATCCAAGCAAGCAACAGCTCACCAAGACGCCGAGGCGCTGTCACATTTCCCTAACCCCGAACACCACAGCAATGGCTCAACGATAAGTCCCACCGCTATTCCGTCAACCTCCCTCGTCCGCGGCGCTGCAATGCCAGTGCGGTCCGCGGCGCAATGCCGCCCCGTGGGACGTGTTTCTCACTCGTCCGCCATCTGGATCACAGACTCGATGCTTCGGCAGGCCATTGAGCATTATTACCGCCAATTCTCCGCTGCCGCGTCATGTCGACGACTCAGCTCGCACTCTGGGCCCCTCGAGAGCCGCCGTCGCCAATTGGGCAAGCGCAACATGACGGGAATTATGCCCTCGTCGTCAACATTTCCCCCGCTATGGCACTTTGACGTTGCCTGGGTTCCCAGCGAATGGAAATGGGAGCCGCCATCTACTGTGGAGGAAAGGAAGAGAAAGAAGCAGGCTATTAGCCCCTCGGTGCTCTTTGACGGCCTGATATCGTGGCTCGAAAAGTCGGATGCCGATAAACCATTTATTCAGCCGCCGTCAGCAGACATTGCCTTTTCTAGCATATCAAGCGGAGAAGCTACCGCAACCGATTATGCTTATGATGAAATCTCTGTGCCGACAAAGTTACCCCAGGAGTTAGCAACATTACGAGACAGGATTCTTCTTCTTGAGACCGTGGATGATGGGGCGCTGGAGAGGTTGAGAAAGCTGTTTCGGCGCGACTACTGCCTCAGGATGGAAACCGCGTCACTTTCTGTCGAAGAATTGCGTCTTTCCATGGAGCCTCTCGACCAGACTTTGAGGGACAAGATATCAGATCCGAAAATGGCAAATGAATTCATCGCTAGAATTCGTCGCAGCCTCTTGACTGGCCTTGGTGTTGCGCAAAAGAGAAATCCCGACAATATCGCTGTACTGGACCTTTGGATGACATTTGCCAACATTGTTTGCACGACAGGAGGCAGCTACCAGAATATCAGGCTTTTTAATCGAATGATGAGTCTGATGCCGGCCTGGGTCCGATCTCAGATTCCCATGGATCAAATAGCAATCTTGGCGCAACGCTTTGTGATGGCTCAAGCGAGCAGCAGCAATGTTTCCAAAAGTTGGACAGCTACCGCAGCTCAATTCGGAGAAGCCCTTTCGATGCTGAGTCCCACACAATTACATATTCTGGATGCCGAAATGGCCACTCTTTTTTCACAGCAAGAGCAGGACCTGGAGACTAGTCGGAAATTACGATTTTCATGGCTAATGGCCAAAGCATACAATCCAACAACAACAAATGAAGAGTTTGCACAATCTTACCGAGATTTGATCATGTCTCATGAGATTGATCCACGACATATCCAACTGTGGCAGATTATAATCGGCCGATCAAGATCAACGGGTGTCATCAGTGATAATGCCCACTCTGAACTTACACAAACACAGTACAGCTCCTTGTCACAACGATGGGCGGCTTTGTTCTCCACAATCCATGGCCTTCCGAGCGCTAGCAACATCTTGATAGAGCTTTACGGCTTCTTCAAAGACATCAACCAAACAGACGCCCTCATTCACGCTTTATCCTCACTTCCACTCTCCCGAGTGTCCATCGACTCGGCGCGGACAATAGCTACAGCATGTGACGATCACAGACTCGCTCTACAGCTCTACGAAGCTCTTCGACTACGACTCGGCCAGGAATCATCACACATCACAACATGGGGCTGGGAGGCATGGGCTCCATACGTCGAACGCATCATCAAAGACGCAGAAATCACACGCCCGGTACACTGGGAAGCCATGGACCTCACGCGGCTCGCATCGGCGCCCACCACGGCTCCGGAGGAAATCGCCCGCGAGATCCAGGCCAAGATGGCCCTCGTCGACAGGATGGGCCAGTGGTACTTGGAGGCGGCGCACCTCAACGACCGCCAGAAGCTGCGGCGCCTGCAGCGGTGCGCAAGCGTCCAGCGAGCGCTGACCAGGGCCGTGTCGCCGCAGGTGCTGGCGCGCGTGGCCGAGCTGGTGACACGGGACCTGCAAAGGGGCGAATGGGGCCGCACGACGTGGTTGCAGTGGCTTCTGGGCATGGTTAAGCAGACGCACGGCGACGAGCACGCCAGCGAGGTTTCGAGGACGCTCGATGGGTGGAGGTGGATGGTTGACCGTCACAAGGGGCCTTGAGAGGGGGGGCATGATCCCATCTCGTTTGGGTTGCTTGGGCTGGGCTGAATGGCTGGACTAGCTATGTGCGGCAAGATCGATTTGCCGTTGAAGAATAAATGAATGCAATAGATGAATAACATGAGATTAAGCCAAAAACACCTCAACAAATCAATCTCCATCGTCTCTACAAAGTCACGCAACACAGATGAGGGGGAATGTCCCAAAAGAGGCGCTGGGTTGGGGCGGGTAAATGCCCAAAGGTGGAGAGACGAATGCCCAAACGCATGCAGGCTTTCCGTCATCTTGAGACCATTCTGGGCCAATTCGCTCAGACCTGCAGGATACTATTAGATACTACGAATACTAGATAGTAGCATCTACCCAGTTTTCACGACTGATTGGACCACAGGCAAGGGAACTTTGAATGTCAATTTCAAAAAAATTATGTGTCTTTGGTGGAGAACTTTCTAGTTTTTCATTTCATCAAATCGTAATCTAGACCCAAGGCCAAAACAAGAAAAAGAGAAAAGAATTAAGAGACGCATAAAATAAAAAAGAATTCATAGCATAAACACACACACAAATGCTGTCGATAATTAAGTACAAGGCCGCTCCAGAGTCCGACGGAAAGTTTCATCATATCCATCAACCCAAAGGAGGAAGATATAATAAGGTCGTTTCGCAGGAAACAAGGAAATATTTTTTTCCAATGGGATATCGTATCATCAAACCATGTTGAAACATGTTGCTTTGCTTTCCCGCAGTCCGTCCAGTAGAGAAAAAAATAGAAAAGAAGAAGAAAGAGAAAACATAGCTGTACTGAAAATAACCCATGAAAGTATAACAGATATATGTACGCAAAAGGAAAAACACACCATCGCTCAACCTTTTTTTATCATGCCGCACGTATGAATAGAAGAAAGAAAAGAAGAAGAAACGGTCATCATAAGCATCATCATCATCATCTCTCTCCCAGTCTCGCCATCTTCCTTAGATGACATCCGACGTTCTGGTACTGGGAGAATTGGTACCGCCGCTCAGACGACCAGTGCCCACAGAAACCCTCCCCCCGTCAGATGGCGTGGGTTGGCGCGTGAGTTTGCTGCGAGCAATGAGCACCTGGGCGGGATGGACAACAATCTCCTCGTCGTTGGAGCCATCGTCGTCTCCCTTCTTGACGACGAGAGGGAAGAGGACAACGCGCACAATGGCGCCTCGAGCCTCGAGCTCTTCGTTGGTCAGCTTCATCGAGGACGGACTCCGCTCATTCATCATGGACGCATTGAATTGGACAGTCTGTACAAGCTCGCCGTCTGCGTCGTACTCCGGCTGCAGAGGCGGCAGCATCATGTACTCGGCCTTTTGCGTGCGCATCTCAATGGAGAGATGGACGGCCTCGTGCATGACCCTGCGCAGTTGGGCTTGGATCTGAGCCTCCAGATTAGAAGGCGGAGGTAGGACCTTGCATAGGGTCTGGTAAATGGCCTGGACCACGGCTTCCGTGTCCAGGTCTCGTTGCCTCTTGAATGAGTCACGCTTGGAGAGCAACGTAAGGGTAACGGCACGCCATTGGCGTACGGCTTGCGGTGGGCCGACTTCTGTCAGCAGCTTTTCCAGCGATTTAAGCTTCTGTCGCTGCTCTCGGTCCATTCCAAAGAGGTAGCGGGTAAAGACGAATTCCCAAATCATGTTCATGGTCATGGACATGAAAATGTCCCGCCGCCTGACTCTGTCGTTGAGGTATCTGTCGACGTCAGAGCCATCCAGGACGGCGTTGTCAAGGCGGTCGATGATCTTCTCATCGTTGATCTCGCTTGTCAGGCGGCAGGCCCGCATGTCGGAGAATTTGGAAAAGCGCAGAACCCACTGCTGGACATGGGAGCAGAGCTGTTGACAGCGGTGGTCAAAGTAGTCCTCATCCTTGATGTTGAGGAACTGCACGTCGGCAGCCTTGGACTCGAGAATCTGACGCTGCAGCTCACGGATCTTTTCCTTGGCGGCGTCTAGCTTGGCCGTCAGGCTTGCAATCTGAGCGTCCTTGTCGCGCAGAGCCTGCATCAGGGCATCCTGGTTCTCGCCCCGGTCGGCGTGGACCTGCAGGTCTGCGTAGCGGCTGTTGTCCTTGTTGGCCAGCTCGGCGTTGGCGCTTGAGAGGCCATCATTGACCTCGGTCAGGCGAGAGACCTCGCCTCGTAGAAACTTGAGCGTCTGCTTGAGACTCTCGATCTGGGTGTCCCGGTCGGAAAGAGCGGTGACGACACGATGGCTCAGGTGCTGGTCGGTGCTATGGCGAGCATCGGAGAGCAAGCGGTTCTCGGCTATGAGCTGCTCGACTCGGGCCTCGAGCTCGAGGACTTGCATGCTCTGACGCCGACGCATACTGTGAGGCCTTGTTGGTGATAAGGGCGAGCCGATGCGGCCCTCGCCGAAACCATCCTATAGAAAGCCCAATGTGTTAGAACGAAGCGACGCCGACGAGGCCAGTAAAGGAAAAATGCAATCAGAGAAATGAATAATAAAATTAACAGCTATAATTCAGTAAATAAAAAACACAATCGGAAATGCCCGCAAATGACCAAACACGACATGCAAGCACTTCGGCAGCAGGCAATCAGAAAAGCCAGAAGCTGAGGGTGCAGACCTTTGGCAGCAGTTGGGCGGAGCTGCTGGGGGTGGGAAAAAATCACGAGGCTGGGCGGTGAGGGCGCTGCCAGTTCTGGGGGTGGCTGGGCGCTGGGAAAAAAAATAAACAGGGCACACTCAGCCCGGACCGTGCTCATGCACGCCGGTGGATCGGGTCATTTGCGGGCACAAATCATGTGACGAGAGCTTCAAAAGATCAAAAGAGAGTCTTTTCACTCACGTATACGTCCGGCTTGTCCTTTGCGCGCACGCGGCCTTCATTGGCAATGGGCGCCTCCGATGTTGGCTTTGGTGTTGAAGCTGGCGCTGGCTTTGAAGTTGAAAATGGCGTTGGCGTGGGGATTGGGCTCGGGTTGGTGCTGGTGTCGGTGGCGGGCATCGGGCTGGGAATCGGGTTCGGGGCGATGGAGCTGGTGCTGCTGTTTGGCTGGCGCAGCGAAAAGCGCCTCTCCGCCCGTCTCAGCAGCGGCGGCGTTGGATTCGACGATGACCGCACTGTGCTGGTGCTGCCGTCCTGGTGCGAGAATTTCAGCCGTTCAGGGGTCCGCTGTCGCACCAGCCCGCTATTGGGCGTGCCGCGACCTCGACCGGGGTCGGCCCGCGCCTCATCTCCCGTCTGGTGTCTTGTGGCTGACGGGATCTTGCTGTCTGAGACGCTTCGAGGCTGCTCAGTCGCCGCTGGCATCAGCGGCACTGACGGCGACTCCGGTCGCTGGAGCCCCGGCCCAATCTGCGCGCTGACGGCTCGTCGCAGGCTTCGTAGAGGCGCTGATGTAACTGGTGATGTGACCGACCGTTTCAGCGCTGGAGGAGTGTCGGATCGTTCCGAAGCCGAAGACGCGGGCATTGGCGACACCCTTCCGTTCGCAAGCCGTCCAAAGCCCATCCCGGTGATGGCCCCGTAGCCTTTCCTAGTGGGACTGGATCTCCCCGTTGGAGTCTCCGGTCGTGTTCCTGTTCCCGTCAACACTCGTTCCCTGGTTCCCGGTATTGTCTTTTTCTCAGGGTCTTTTGCTGCCTCTCGTAGCGACGTAGGTTCCCGTAGTTTCTGGCCGCCCAGTGTAGATCGTCGTAGTCGTCTCTGGGGCTGGCGCTCTGGCGTCCTGTTCATCGGCTCAGGAGTCTTGAGCTGTTTCATGGCGGCTTCTAGCCAGTCTGCATCGATCCCGCTGTCGCGCAGTTTCTCCTCATTGTCTTCGATGGGAATCGTGCTTGTGCTGTGTCTCCTTGATCGGCTTGGGGGGCTTCCGGAAAAGCTACTGTCTCTGTAATAGCCAACTTCCGAGGCTGTCGCTTCGGCTTCCGCCTCCGGCAACTCCTCAACTGAGGGCAACCCGCGTGGCGACAACCTATAATCAGATAAATCGTAGTCAGATATTTCAGACATCATGTCCATTGGGGGAAGCACCGATATTTCCGATGCCTCCCGAAGAAGCCCGCCGATCGGATCCTCCACTTGGGAATTCCGCTTCAGCAGCTCAAAAGGTCCCAAGACTTCCATTGCCTCAAGAATTGGGCTGTCGACCAACTGTCCTCCAAAAACTTCTCCACGCTTAAACCTCCTCTCGACGGCACCCCCATCATCTCCAGCTTCCACAATACTTTCAGTCCGCTTTGGTGTAGTAGGTGTGTCAGATTGTCCTTGACGTCTCTTGCGCTTCTTTGGCGTGGTAGGGCTGCCACTCCTTTGCAAGAAGTCATCGAGTGTTTCGATTTTTGTCTCCCAGCTCCTCTCGTCACCGCTTTTCCGAAGAGCTGGATTCCCTAAAAAAGACTCCTCATTGGGGTCTTCTTTGTCGTCTTCCCCTATTGGGTCTTTGTCTCTGTCCCTAGTCTTTTTCTTTTTAGGGCCGAACCGTTCGGATAGGAATCCGAGCCACTGGTTAGATCCTTGGCTAGATGCTGAGCCCGGCCTCGAGCTTTTCGGATCCTTTCCCTTTGGCGATTGGGTTCCAGAAAAGGATGAAGCTCGCTTCTCAGTCTGCAGTTCAGATCCTGCAGGCTCATCACTTGCCGTGTTGTCTGTTTGGCTATTCCTTCGCTGCGGTGTAGAAATCTCCGCGGGTTCGTCAACCAGGGGTGCATCTTGGATCATATGAGCCTGCTTACGGTCTAAGAGATCTTGGGGCGGCCTCTCGTCCGGGGCGAGCTCTAAACTTCTCGTAAGGTCAGATTCGGACCTTTTCCCAGAAGACTTGCCCCAGTTGCCCGTAAACATGTCCCATGCGTTTTCTGGCTCTTCCTCTTGAGGTGCGGAATCGATCTGTTCTCCAGAAGGACGTGACATGTCGGAATCCTTGTTGTCAGGCAAGCTCATGGGTTCTTTTAGCCGTGGAGATCCTACATCCTCTCCGCTAGCATCCTCAGGGATAGTATCTAGCGGTGCAGTGATGCTTCCAACCCGCTGGCTCTGCGGAGGATCCATCAACTCAGGATCATCCGCAAATTCAGACAAAAGTTCGTCAATGTTCCTTGACCCACCGGCCACTGGCGCTGGAGGCTCGGCGGCGGCACCCTCTCCGACATTGGAAGATGGTTTCTGTTCCTTGTCGACGAGTTCATCGGAAATAGAAGTTTGATTGTCACTGACATTAGGTACACTGCTCGCGAGGTTGGGATTCGAAGTCGTTGGGAGACTTGGCAGCGAGGATGATGGGTCACTTCCGCGTTCACTTCCGCCACTGCGAGACTTCTTGCGCTTGTGCTTCTTGCCTCCCTTCTTCTTTTTCTTCTTTCTGTGTCGATCTCTGTGGGCATGCTGCTCTCCACGCGGAGTAGCAGTCACCTCAAAGCCGGTAAGTCTTGACGTAGAGTCATTTGGTCCACCGTATCTAAAAGATCCAACTTCGCTGTGCTGGTATGACATATCGGATACATACGAAGCGTCATCGTCGCTGTCTTCTTCACTTCCTGAGGAGTCTGCCGCTCCAGGAACGGACAAGAACACGGATGAGTTCTTGCGAGACTTGTCCGTTTCCCAGGTTCTTGACTGTCGAACCTCAGGGGAGTCAGGAACAAATGGTTTTTGTTGGGGTTCCTCTGTGCGCTCCTTGGAAACATCCTCCTGAGGTTCAGTCGGCAAAGCAGCCTCAGGTTCAGGCTGATCAACCGGCTCAGTAGACATCAGTTCTTCAGTCGGCAGACTGATTGCCTCAGCAGGTGGGAATTGTTCTGAATCTGCGGCAACATTGTCAAGTACATCGCGTTCTGCGATGACTGTAGAGTCTGGTAGTGAAGGCTCAACCGATTTGTCATGAGTCGACTCCAAGGCGTGAGATTCCGAAATTGTGTCAAGCTCAGGAGCCTGAGTATCAGGCTGAGCTAGATCCGTAGGCTTCAGAATAACACCTGCTTCTTTTTCTAGGATATCGGATACAGGACCATCTTGCTCAGCTGTACCTGTTGAATCGAGAGGGTGAGAGTTGTAAATCTCTTCAGTGGCAGATTGATATTGAGCGTCATCTTTCCACGCGACTGGGTCCACGACAGCTTCTTCGACAGCGGCAGCTGCTGCACGGGCACGTCTTCGAGCCTTCTTCCTCTCCTTCTTGGCAATCTTCTTGGCCGTTGCCTCGTCTACGTCTTGCAGTTGAGAGTCTGTCATAGACGGCTCGAGCTCCTTGGACTGTGACTCGTGCTCACTTTCATCATCAGATGAGTCGTGGTGAAGCTCCTCCGACTTGGGCTCTTGGACCTCTGATACTGGCTCCTGCTGGAGTTCTTCAACAACTGGTTCTTGTGGGTTTTCTTCCAGTGCTGGCTCTTGTTGAACCTCTTCAGAGGCAGGATCAAATCCTCTGTCAGCCTCTTCGACGACTGATTCTGGCTCAGGCTCATCAGACTTTGGCTCTTGCTGGTGTTCATCAGAGATTTGTTCCAATGGAAGCTCTTCGGGTTTCAACTCTGGTTGAGCTTCCTCAAGCTTGGGCTCCTCAGCAGGAGCATCTGTCATTGTGCTGGGAACCTCTGGCTGTAAATCATGAGCGACTTGGTCTTCAGAAGTTCCTTCTTGAACCAAGTCATCACCAGCCGCTTCCTTGTCTTCGACGGCCGGCATGATGTCCCGAGTCGCCTCGGAAATACCAGAGTCAACAACATCCGTAGGATCAGAGCGTGCTTCATCAAACACAGTAGTTTCATTGTCCAAGCGTGAAGCATCATTGGCATCCGTGACCGCATCCGATCCTGGTAACTTGGTGTCGATCGAGTCTTCCTTAATAATCTCTGCCGGGGCCTCAAATTGGTCTAGGCCTTCAGCCACAGCTGATCCTTGGCGTTCATTTTCAGGCTCGTTAATCTCCTTTTCAGTTGGTGGCTGAGCCTCTTGCGGTGCCAGGGGGTCTTCGGTCTGTAGCTCGGCCTCTGTGGCAGGTTCAAGCTCTGCACTAGGATCTTGATGCTCTGTGCTTACGGGAGCGATAGCATCATCCTGGGCGAGATTCAATTGTTCAGAATCTTCTGTTTGAGGGGGATACTCCGACTCCACTTTCTCCTCTGCGTTTGGTGGCGTAGTTGACGGTGCAACTATTTCAGCTTCCAGTGTGGGTTGTTCCAGTTCAGATGTCATATTAGGTTCTTGGGGAAAGCTGTTCTCCACTGAGGGGTCTAAAGTACCAGTCGAATCAAGTTCTACAGATTGTTCAGGATTTTCCGATTTCTCTTCTCTCTTTTCCGCGTCGAGATTCTCATTGTCGTTACTTTCCATCTCCGGCCTATGCTCCTCTTCGTGAATTGGTCGAGCGTCCTCTGAAGTTCCAGTTTCTAAATGCGTGTCCAATTTGGTGGTATCCACGTCAACTTCCCTAGAAATATCTCCAGAACCCTCGTTTTCCAAGTCAGTGTTGTTCATCGGCGGCTGCAATCCATCATCGACAGCCTCCTGCTCTGCTTTGGGTTCCAGATCCAGTTCTCGGTCGGCTTCCTGGAGTGGCATTGTCTCGGGTTCCTGATGAGATACAGGCTCCACATCCTTGGCTTCATGGTCTTCATCGTGTAGCTCGGAGGACCTTGAATCTAGTGTGCTTTGGTCTTCTTGCGGAGTCACATCTAGATTCATATCCTGACCAGAGGGTTGCTCAATTGCCATATCATCTTGTCCCTTGTGTTCCTCTTGTAAAGCAGGCAACTGGGATGTTTCAGGCTCCATCGGGGGCGCAAGGTCGCTGGCAACCTGCTCCTGCTCTTCCATATTTTGACTCTCGTCTGCTGAAGGGAGTTCTCTTGTCTCTGGCAGAGCCTCAATTGGACCTTCAAGAGGAGCCTCAAGAGAGGGCGGCTCCAATTGTTCATCTGGCATCATCTCAGGCTCCTGCTCTTGCTTTGTCGGTTCAAGATCCAGGGAGACAGAACTTTCTTGCCTTTCTTCGTTGCTGCCTCCCTCTACTGGATCAACTTCTTTGAGCTCAGGCTCCTGGATAGTAGCATCTGGGGCTGCGGTAGACAATTGCTCGTCAACCAGTTCGCGCTCTTCAACAGTGGGGGCGATATCAGCGGTGTCAGCGAAGTCCGCCATATTCTCCTCGAATTTCTCCTGTTGCTCCAGTGCTGGAGCATCAACTTCAGCCTCTACAGGGCCTTCCAAGGGTTCAAGTTCGGCTGCCTTGGAGTCGCCTTCATCTGCAGCATTAGGTACCGGAGGTGGTGGTCGAGAAGGCTCCTCGGGGGCTTCAACGGCATCCAAAGAATCAGCCTCGTTTGTAATGCTAGGTATAGAGGGCGGCGGTCGAGAAGGCTCCTCCGGTATTACGACAGCTTCCGGTGATTCAAATTCGTCTGCCTTGGAATCGCCTTCATCTGTAGCATTGGGTACTGGGGGTGGCGTTCGAGAAGGCTCCTCAGGGACTACCGGGACTTCGGAGTATTCAGTTTCAATAGCTTTAGAGTCTCCTTCATCTGCAGTATCAGGTACTGGGGGTGGTGATCGAGAAGGCTCCTCGGGAACTGCAAAACTCTCGTCCATCTGCGTAGGCTCATAGCTAGCAGGGAATTGCTGAGTAGGGTACTCAGAAGGAGCATCACCCTGAGTAAACAATGGCTCAGAAATGTCAGAGGCAAATGATGGTAGCTGAGGAGCCCAGTCGAGAGGTTTGCTGTCTGGTGTCTCGGCTATTTCGCCAATGGATCGCGGTACACTTTCATCCATTTGCGGCTCGAGAGAGATATCCTCTACCACTGTAGCATCGGATTCCTCTCCAATGGGCTCCAGATATCTATTCTCCTCGGCGGTCTGCTGCTCATGTTGATCCTCAGCTCGACCAATGCTCCAGGCTGATTCCTCTGGTATAGTCTCTAGTGTTGGTTCGGGGGATTCTTGATCAGACGTCTTTTTAGGGGCCGAATCTTCCATCAAATCTTCCAATGACTCCTCCAGGATAGGGGACAGTTGGTCGCTGAAGGGTGCATCTCGATCAAACTCGTCTTCACCCTCAATGCCCTCTTCAAAACCATCCTCTTCCATGATCGTGGGCAGCATTGTGTCTTCATATTCAGGAGCAGCCTCCCATTCGCGGTCAGCAGAAGGCGATTCTTCGCGTGGAACAGATGCTACTTCATCAGCATCTGAAGCTAGTGAGTCTGTGACATCTGCATCGACATGCTCTTCAGCTACAGCAGGAGATTCAATAGGCATCTCCTCTACCGCAGGCTCCACCTCATCAGTCACCATTACCTCTCGATCTTTATCAGCAGAGTCATCATCTTCTCCTTTGGCAGGTAAATCGGTAGGAACCTCATCAGTGGAAACTGGGTCGGATTCGGCGCTAATGGGAGCAGAGACCTCTTCCTGTAGGGGAAGCTCTTCCTGTAGGGGGGCAAGAGTTTCAGGCTTTTCTTCGGCAGCAATGGCCTCATCTTCGACCTGAATGCTCCTCTTTTCACCGTCTTGTTCGTCGCTCAGCTCTGGTGAGAGTGTATCTGTCTCATCAATCTTGGCATGGCCTGAATGTGGAATCGGTTCACTATCGGTATTGGCCCACTTCAAAAGCCCATCCTCCAAGCCGTCTGCGTCGTTGTTTGTACTCTCGACAGCAGTTGATGGCATAGTTTGTGGCTCTTCGGTCTCAGCGAGAGGTGTAGGTTCAGACACAGGCTCCAAGCCGTCGCGGGGGGTGAACTCGGGAGATGCAGCGACTTCTTGTGCTTTTTCAATTGTAGGTTCCTCTGCAATCTCTCGTGTGAACTGTTCTGGGGTCTCGTATACTGCTTCTTGAATAGGAGATTCTTTGGCAAGATCAAGGGGTACTTCTTCCACTGCTTCTACTGCATGAACAGGTGCAGGCTGTGTAAGGGGTTCGGAGTCATTTCGATCAAACTCCGTAGGAAGAACTCTTGTGACATCTAAGGGCGTCTCACTGGCGGGTTCCACGACTGGCATAACAGTAGACTCTGCGGATTCCTTGGCATGTTGAATGGGAGTGTCATGGGAGGCTTCTGTTGCTGCAACTGCGGCTGCGGCTGCTGCTGCTGCTGTCGCCGCCTTGCTCTTCTTCTTCCTCTTTCTCTTCTTCTTCTTCTTCTTTTTCTTCTTCTTGCTCTTCTTAGAGCTCGATGACACAACGGAAACAGCTCCCAGAGTCTCGACAGATGCCGTCATATCGCGAACCGCGTGGCCCTCTTCCCCGACGTGCTTTCCGGCATCTGCAACGGCGTGTTCTTCCTCCTCCTCGGAATCTTCTTCCGACTCTTCAGACTCTTCAGAGTCCTCCTCTTCATCTGTTTCCTCCTCATCTTCTGACTCCTCTGAGTCTTCAATAACTGGAGATGCCTCAGGCTTCCTTGGGTATTCTTGCCCGGCATCTCTTTGGACAGGCTCAGGCTCCTCCAGGACAGGCTCAGCTTTTACTTCGGTAGCGGCTTCGGGGATAGCGCGAGACTTTGCAGTCGGGATGGTACCAATGACGATTTCTTCAACCTCTTCAGAATCCGAGTGTTGAGTTGATTCAGGAATGGCATCATACGAGAGATCTTCAGACACAGGTACAATGTCGACAGTCTCAGTGTATGGTGCCTCAACAACCTCATCAAGAGGCTCAAAAACCGCCGCTGGCTCTTTGTCCAACTCAAGTTCCGGTCCAGAAGCATAACGTTCAGGCTCTGGCTCCGATTCATCCTCAACCATCACTGGCAGTGCTTTGCGTCCTTTGATCGGAGTATATTCGTCTGAGAATCCCCTGTCGGCATCTAGAGCAGGCTCCTTGGCGAGAATTGGTTTCGGAACCCCAACAAATGCAGCCAGTGTCTCGTCGGCCGTAGGTTGAGCAGATAAGTCGGGGTCGATTTCCGCGTCAGATAAAAGGGACTTGTTCTTACCCTTTGTTGACGATTCCTCGGCGGATTCTAGTAAGGGGTCTAGATAGCTGGGGCTCCCCTGGCGGGCCTGGGCCTGGTCCTTTGGGACATTCTCAATGCTAGGCAAAGTCTCAATCACCTTATCCACAGATGTCGGTTCTGAATGTTCCGGTACCTTGTCCTCCCAGAATTTTGCGGGTCTTGAAAATTCAGGAATAGCGCCAAGCATCGATGGCTCAATGGGCGGCGGTTCAAATAACTCGTCATCGTCGTTGTTATCAGCAGGCGAGGTGCGTGCGGTCTCGAAATCATCGGAGGGTTCGTCTGCTGATGTCAATTCTTCGGCATGATGGCGAATATCCTTATTGGGGGAGAGGAAGCGCCGTGTAGGAGTCGTAGGGCTCGGTATGGCTTGAGCATCCACTGTCCTAGCCGATTGGCCCGACGAAGGCGTTGACTCAACAGGAACAGGTATGTTGTAATCGCCTAGAGTGTTGTTAGTAGGCGGAACCGGCAGCTCATACGTCAAGTCTGCCTTTGGCGTGGAACCTTCGGATCCCTCGTCGGATACAGATCTGCCCATTGTCGGAATGTCGGTCTGGAGTCGGAGTTGATGATCAGTAGAGCTGAACCCATCGTTTGGAGGCATGGGGCTTCGGAAGTCTTCAGGACGTAGTCGTAGTGCAGATGACTGGTCCTCCTCCCGATCAGACATTGCTCCGCCCTCAGTTTCGCTCGAGACTTCACTGGGCGGTAGAGGCGGTAGCTCTTCGCCTTTCAGGTCAGCTGATCCGCGCCTGGCATGCTCGAGAAGCATCAGAGGCATAAACTCTTTGGTGCTATCCCAGGAGGTTGGCCGTGGTGGCGTACGGGGAGGCTTGAAGGCCATAACCGGGCTGGAAGGGCTAGACCCGATACCCCTGAGCAGTGCTAGAGGGACAGCAGTGTTGCTGTGTGACCTGTTGCGGGAGCTTTCTTGATTGCTTCGTTGCCGGCGATGGGTCTTTTCAAATCTCCGGGCCCGATCTTCATCCGGTGTCCCAGGGCGACTGTCGGGCAGGCCCGGCAGCTTGTCAAGACTGGCATCTAGGGGAGTGCCCGGTTCGCTTGGTGGTAGAGGGAGCAGATCTCCATACTGGGGATCAATAGCAATTGCTCGGGGAGCAATCACGGGGTAGACATCTTCATCCTCCCGGCTCGAGCCAGGGAGATCTCGCGAGATGTTCTCCGGGTCCGAGGAGACATCGGCGGCATTTGAGCGAGTCAAGGCCGTTGCTGCAGATGCAGCAAGGCTCGCTAGGCCGGCACCCGCGCCAAGGATGCCGGCTTGCTCAAAAAAAGAGTCCCCCTTCTCATTAATGGTTTCTGTTTTGCCGCCGGACTTGTTGAAGATGCCTGAGAGAAAGCTAGACTTTTTTCCGGAAGAGTCTTTGCGTTTACGCGATGAAATGGGTTTCTCGCTATTATCATTATACTGTGAAGATTTGCTCTCCCGGCTTCTCGGCCTTCTTTCATCATCCTGATCGTCCGTGGGACCATCTCTCGAATATGGCGGCGGCTCGTTGCCGTCAACTTCACGAAGGTCCTTCTCTGTGCCGCTCCGGCGCTTCGGCCGGGTGCTCCTCCTGCTAGAGGTGGACAGCTCTGAAGCCACTATAGACCTTCGCGTGGATCTTGGTGAACTGTCCCAGTCTTCCCAGTCTTCAACACTAAAGACGGTGGCCTCGTCACCGGGCACCGAAATCCTTGAGATTTCAGTACCCTCGTCGCCCGGAATGGACAGCCCGGATCGTTCGTCATCTAGGCGATCTCGTCGCTTCTTCTTCTTTTTCTTCTTTGACTTGCTGGGAGCAAAATCGGAGGCACTGTCATCCAATTGAGCCAGAGCTTCCGGGTGGAGTGGTGTCCTTGTCGGGGGCCGTTCAGCCTCAGGTTCGTGCCTTGGTACAGCCTCCGTGGTCTCGGGCTCCTCGGTTTGGTTGGATTGTCTCATCTGGAGGAACTTCTCCAGCCTCTCTCTCTTGGCCTTTTTGTCCTCGTCATCGTCTTGAGCCTCAGGAACCGACTCCAAGTTACGCGACTCTAGTACTTCGCGTGGAGGCTGAATCTCGCCTGATTGTCGACGCTGGAGGAATTTCTCTAGCATATTTCGTCGCTCATTATTCTGAGGAGGCGTGATTGGGCGTTCCACTACGGCCGGCGTCTCGACTGGCTCGGCCGGCTGAGACGGCGGTTTGATCTCACCAGACTGTCGCATCTGAAGATATTTTTCCAGTGCGTTGAGCTTCCGTTGCTTCTGAGTTTTTTCATCTTCCGACTCATCTGTATCAGCCAACGAGAGCTCTTCTTCGTCTGCTACCACTTCCCTGTCTTTTGCCAGATCATCTTCTGGGGCTGGTACAGGCTCTTCAACTGATCTCTCGGCATCGGCTGGGCGAGAGCCTCGGCGGCGGAAATCCGGATCGTCAATTACAATATTAGGATCGAACCCGCTCTTCTCTAGGCCGGCTGCCACGGTAGCTGTAAACTCGAGATCATCGGAAAAGGTCCCAGGCATCTGTTCAGGCTCAGGGCTAGCCGGCTTGGGGCCAGGAACAGGTGGTGCGCCGTTGACATCGTCATCGGCAGGCAGATCACGGCTCCGCGACGCAGTGTGCCGATCAAGCTCAGTGGTCGGTTCGGCGGTGCCAGCGGCCATCATGGCGGCGATCTTGCCCCATTGGCTAATCTTGCTGAGACGGGGCCTGGGTTTGTCTTCCGTCTCAGCCAACTCGTTTGGGGACTCTGCACGGCTACGAGATTCGGGAGATTCGACTACGAATCGCTTTGTCGAGTTTTCGCCCCAAGTGACAGACTTGCCGCTTGGTGACGAGTGCGTTGCCTCGCCCTTTGGATCGGATTCTTCTTCATCCTCAGATGACGCAATCGATTCTTCTTCTTTTTCAATCTCTCGGGATGCAGGCACCTCCGCTGGTTGCTTCAGCCCTACTGATGTGGAATCAGGGCTGGGCACCGGAGTGGGACGAACGATATTCAGCAAGGGACGTTCACGCTCGCATGAAGCGTCCCGAGACGTGAATCTCGCGGCATCAAGCCCATTGGTGGCTCGGAACCGGTCAGTTTCGTGTGGGAAGATTTCATTGTCAATCCTGACATCGGCATTGGGAGGCGCGTAGGGGTTTTCGTCGTCGTCATGCTCCCTATCTTCCATGCTGGGAGGTGCGACGATGGAAAATGATTCTTCGGCCGACGGCTTCTCCCACTTGTCCACCACGGATTCATCGGGGGAGTGGCTGCGAGACCGAATCTCATCGGACGCAATCTTTCGCGCAATCACAGACTCGCGATAATATCTGTCTGCGTCCTCCTGGACAGCGTCCTTTTCTGGCCTGTTTCGATCTCGTGAACCATCATCCGAGTATTCGCGGCGTTTACGCTCTCGTGACCGCTCTTCCTCGACAGCAATAGCGGAGGCAATGGCAACAGCAGCGACCGGGATCGTCGAGTGCTTGGCCTCATCCAGGATCGACCGAGCATCCTTTTCCTCCTGTTCGTATTCGTACCCACCCCTAGGGTCTCTGCTCCGAGATTCACTCTCACCTCCCCTTCTCCTCTCTTCGGCTGCTCTCTCAATCTCATACGAGTCCTTTCGACTGAGCCTAATGTCCGCATTGCTCTGTGGTCGCAACGGCATTTGAGTTGGAGGGGGGCCAGAGGAAGGGGCAGGCGAAGGGTCGGCAAAATTGGGAACACGACTGACGGTGACGATTTCGGGTGTTCGTTCCCGGCGGGGCGTGTTGAACTGGGGAGTGTTGAAAGCATCATTGGCAACCTGGTATTGAAAAGGGTCAACAAGGGGTTTTGGAACGGGCTGGGCAGTCGTCTCAATATTCCGGTCACCTGCCTTTATCGCACGAGCGGGTTGCGGGGGTTGCTGCTGTTGCCTCTGGGCATCGCGGAGTTTATCATCGCGTAGCTGCCTCTCCGTATCTCTCATATGAGCATCGTAGGTAGTCTGGTATTTCAGGGTCTCCTTGCGCTCTTCTGGATGAAGTTCCATCCAGGACCTGCTATCTCTAGGCAGGTTAGACGAGTCCTTGCCATAGTCGGGCATTTGGCGGTCGGATTCTAGTCGAGGGGAGTCATTATCGTTTCGGCGGTTATAGTATACCTCCGGGTTGGCCCTCCGCCGCTCCAGTTCTTCAAAGGGTGCCTGGTCCCGCTGAAAATAATCTTCCTCTGGATCCGGACGAGTGAGCTTTACATTATCGCGATAGATACGGTCTTCGGTCCAAGGTCCTCTTTGATCCGCCATGGCAGCTGCTGCAGCCGCTGCTGCAGCCGCAACACCGCCGCTCAGAGTAGGGTCAAGACTCCCACTATTAGAGAGCTGACGGCGGTAGCTGTTTCGAGAATCTCGCCTACCCGCCTCAAAGACCTTGTTTGAGACGGGCACCATGGGGATTGGCTGCTGGAGGGGGATGGGTCCTGGGCGGTGGGTGGAATCGGCCTGCGATTCACCAGTGGCCGGTCTGTCATTGTCGTAACGATTTGAGCTCATCGAAGCCGGAGGCGGCTGTTCATCTCCAAACCCGCAGGGTGTGTGAACCAGCCCACGCAATGAGTTGACCGGGCCGAAGAGGCGGGGATCCACAACAGAACTCTTCCTGCTATGATACGTAGGTTTGGAGCTGGCAACGGAAGAGGCTACGGCCCCGGTGGCGGCTCCGGCAGCGGCCCCCATGAGCCCGGACAGTGCGACGTTGGAACGCGAAGAATCACCGCCGTAGGCCAGAGCAGACGTGCTGTCATCGCTCGAGGAGCTCTCGGAAGAATCACCGTCATCGTCGGAGGCCGACTCCCAGTCCGATTCATCAGAAGATGATGCGCGGTGTTTCTTGGAGCCCGCAAGGCCTCGTTTTTTGGCTTCCTTTCTGCTCTTTCGCAGTGCACTGATGGCGGCGGCGGTGGATGCTAGTCCGGACGGCCGGGTCTTTCCCGCGGCGCGTAAGTCCTCCTCGTTGGATCTCCGGGCCAGATCTGACAGCTGACGCCCAATGGCAAGAATCTCTTCATCCGTCTTATTACGCTTCCCCTCATTAAGTAGTTTAGGGGATGGCCTGTTGGCGGCGGCTGGGGGATACTGCTGTTGTTGCTGTTGTCGAGAGCCCGATACGGCGGAGCCCGCAACGGAGCTGCTGTAGCGCGTGGACCGATCCTTTTCCTTCTTGACGAAACCGGTGCCGTATGCCATGTCGGAATTGATTGACGAGTGAGACGAGTTGCTGCCGCCGCCAAAGAAAACGCCGCGGCGCTTCTTGGTGCCGCTGCCCCTGCGGCGATGCTTCCGGCGCACTTCTGACGGGGCCTTGACAAAGGTGCTGATGAAGTTCCCAAAGCGAGAGGTGGGATATACTCGAGTGATTTCCGTGTATGAGGAGGATGAGGAGGATGGCGACGAGGACAGCGAGCCCGACGAGGCCCGGGACCGAGGCTGGGCCGCATCCTGCGACGGCGTGTGGTGCTGCGGCATTGGCAGCGACATCTGCTGGTAGTGCTGCGGATAGGGATACTGCTGCTGCGGCGGTGAGGGAAAGGCCTGTTGCTGCAGCGGCAGCGGAGGCTGTTGTTGTTGTGGTTGTTGAAATTGAGGTTGAAATTGGGATTGAGGCGGAGGTTGATACGGCTGCTGCTGCTGCTGTGGGCTGTCGGCGCTGTAGCTGCCCGGCATCTGCTGAGGCGTGATGCTGTTAGGGGACGAGTACAGGCTATCCTTCTCCTCGCGCGACAGTCGCTTCTCGCGCCTCCGCCTCCTGGAGCTCTCCGGGCTCCGGCGGCGGGGATGAGGCATCGTGGGGACCTGACCTGGCTTGGCGGCTGGTCACTCACGCTGCCAGTAACACGATCGATAACACTTTCCGTCGTGCTGCTTGTGAAGGAGAGATTGTTTTTTTTGTTTTGGTTTCCAGGAAGAGCAGAGCTGATGCAACTAGCACGACGCCAACCCTCGCTCCCCCCCAGTCGACCCGACCCGCTCCGTGGACAGGCGGTGGCTGGGGCGACGAACAATTTGACAATTCAGGCGTCCCGGGGCCTGAAGATGGTGGCCAGCCCGGTCGCTGTGGCTGCGGGAGGGCCAATCAGGCTGCGGCGCCATGGGCCTTAGCGGCGAGTTCAGCTGGCCAGCGAACGATCACAAGAGCTGGGCCAGACATAAAAAAGGGGGCAGCGTTCAGCGTTGGCGATACGATACTATCGAGATCTGGCGGCAAGACACAAGATGCAAACGAGCTGGGGTAGTTTCCGGTGTTGTTTCAGACGAGCGTGTACGGCGAGCTCTTGTCCAACTGTTGTATCTATATGTCTTTGCCGATACCTACTGTAGCAAGGGAGAGGGAAACGAAGATTGTTTGTGCCAGGGTGCTCGTGGTACGTGATTTGACGTCCATGGATTTCTTCGTATAACTTGAGCACCCAGGTAAAGGCAGCAAACGGGTGCACAAAGAGTGAAAATTTCTACATACAAGTACATGTATCCACTGACAGCAATAGCATGTACCTGGTAGGTATTGTCCATGTGCATTTTGTAATTCTATGGCAGGTTTCCCGATCAATTGACTTTGTTCATAACGGGATTTCCCTAACATTACGTCTTGTGGGGCCGGTCATAACAAGCGTGTCAATGCTCATGCTCTCGAGTTACCTTAGCTCCAGCTTGTGATAGCTACTTTGCTACTGTATCAACGGCCTTGTTTGTTAGTGCTGAACCGAGGGCAACACGATGTTCCCTCCCCCTCTCCCAACAGCTCCCAAGTGAGACATGCCTAACACCCATTCACTCACCCTCACATCGAATCAGTCCCTCCCACATGCAACGGCGGATACATTCTGCTGCCTTAGCGGGTACTTGTCCTGTCCAGTCCTGTCCATTCACCTCTCAACCAATCAAATGCCCTCCAGCCGCCCGTTTCGACCCCCCCTCCGACACTGCAAAGAGAGACACACACAGTTGGGCGACATTTTGTCTCACTCTGTCTGACCACATCAGAATCGTTTATCTGATACTTGACCGCTACCCGACTTTTGCTCGCCGAAAACCCCCGCTTTTCTGCCAGTTGGCACTAACCACCGCAGTACCACCTCGCTCTGCATCTTTCACAGATCCCAAAACAGGGTGACAAAAAAAGGGCGACAAGCGTCGGGAGGGTGCACGCACACGCGCGGATTGACTTACCCTGCAGGGCATGGCCATGTCATCGTGGCCCAAATCAGTGATAATAATCGACGGTTTTTGATGGCAGCGCTTGTATCCAGCAGCATTACATGGGTATCATGCCATTTTCGCGGCTCCGTCTTACCTACCCATGGCCCATCATCGCGAGACCTTGTCTCAGGCCAAAACGAAGCCAGACGTGCTACCGAGGGACGAGCACTTACAGCAGAACCCACTCACACTCTCACAACTCATTCGCTTACAACGCAAGAGCCCAGAAACACACACACACACACACACACACATGCTAGCAAATAAGGGCCTGCAGTTAGGAAAAAGATGACGCCTTTTCTTCATGCATGAATGCCTGAGCATCGAGGCCAAATTCACCATGATGGCCATTCGCTTGTCTGGCAACATGCACGCCATCAAGATCTTCCTAACCTAAGGTAGGGATGTCGATCCTCGAAAGGGTACATACAGAGTACATGTCTTTCTTATCATTCTCACAGTACGGAGGAATATGACTAGTAAATCCCATTGGGAGGGCCTGACGAAATGACCATTTGAGTCTCGGCAATGTAAATCTCCATTACTATCTAATCAGATGAGATAAGGTAGGATGTATTATTAGACAGATAGTGTTTCACTGAGCGCCTCATGCCCCATGGGAGGCTTTGTGAAGCTATTAGCTACATGTACTCCGTACCTTGATGTGGCTATTATATGGTTTTTGTATCTGTGGACTGTGGCTTACCCATCAAATCAATTATTCAGGGTCCAAAACTCTAAGCAACGACTCCTCTTGAGTAATTGCTCAAGTTTCATGATTACTCAAAGTGGCGTTGAGATGACGACTCAACTATACCGTGAACGAATCAATTGAATAGTTCAGGCAGATTATTTCAAGTTATAAAACTATGAAATCCACCTACACGAAAACCTAGTTACCCAACAGAGTGAGGAGTTTCATAATCCGTCTACTAAACACCTATATAAAGGGCTGCTGCTCCCCCCTAACTTCAATCTTACACCCTCATTACCAAGAATGAGTCTTCTTCCACCTCACAGCTTAGTGTCAATTCCTTCTCTTGTAAAGACCATGTTCATGTCAATCCCAGACACTCATTAGTCCCAGTTCTTATAAATAACCCTTCTCTTTTCACAAAGTATCGTCCTTCCCTCTGTTCTTCAAGATTCTTAGTATCCAGGCACCACCTTAGCCTTCACATACAATCCATTCGCCGGCTTCGCCGTCACTCCGCCCCTGATATCAATCTTGTCCAAGTCCATCTCCTCTTTATTCACCAGCTCAAATTCAAACCTGCCAATCCAAGCCGCCAAGAGACACGCAAACTCCCCCTTGGCAAACCCCATGCCGATACAACTACGCGGCCCATGTAGGAACGACAGGAACGCATAGTTACTCTCAGCACCGCCGCTCGCAGCTCTCTTGTTGCTCTCGTCAGAAACTCCCTCCGCAGAAATCCACCGGTCCGGGTTGAACTGAGAAGCATCCGAGCCCCAGAGTTTCGGGTCCGCGTTGACGGCATAGGGCGAGATGGTGAGCCGAGTGCCCTTCTTGACGGGCACCCCCTGGATGGTGGTATCGTGAGCAGCCTCGCGAATGGTCATAGGAACAGGGCTGAAGAATCGTAGCGACTCGTTGCACACCGCGTTGAGGTACGGCATGTGATCAATGTCCAGGCTCGTAATCTTGGCCTCGGCATCGTCCGTAGAAGGCAGCTTCTCCCGAATCTCGTTGCGCAGCCGCGTCTGCATCTCGGGCGAGCGGCTGAGCTCATAGATGGCCCACGTCAGCGCCGTCGACGTCGTCTCATGGCCGGCGGCCAGGAACGTCATGAGCTGATCAACCAGGTTTTCGTCGGTGAACTGGCCGCTCTCAATCGCCACGGAGAGAATGTCCACATCCGTGCGCCCCTTGTGAGCCATCATCTTTTCTCTCTTCTCTCGGATGAGATCCCGGCACACGGACTTGATCTTTTGGGCCGCCCCATCGATAGCCCTGTTTCGCTCCAGAGGTAGTCGTTGAAGCAGCCATGTGGGCACCAGAGTTGCCAGGAACACCAGGAACTTGGCCGGCGGCCTAGGCTTGAACAGAAACTTGTACGTCTGGACAATGTCGCTGTTGTCATCCTGGATCGCGTGAAAGTCTCTGCCGAGGCCGGCGACGCCAATGATGTCGAGGGTGACTCTGGACGCCCACTCGCCGGCCTCGAACTCTGCCTCTCCGAGCTTGCCGCATTCAGTCGTCATGGCCTGGACCACCTCCCGCGCCTTGTCCCAGAAGACGGGATACAGATCCTTGATGTGTCGGAACGCAAAGGCCGGCATCAAGTTGCGACGCTGGCGCTTGTGCTCGTCTCCCTCGGCCAACAGCACGCCATAGCCCAGAACACGGCCGAGCATGGATCTGACATTCTCGGGTTTCTGGAAAGCGTAATTGTTTGTTACGAGTACCTCGGCCAGGGCCTTCGGAGAGGTGATGAGTAGACGCTCGCGGTTGAGGAGCCAGTAGTAGCGAATGAGCCCATCGTTGGGGATATTCAAAGCCCTGTTTTGGCCAGTCAGCCATCATCAATTGCCAAGCAGTATGGATTACACATGAAACCTACCACTCTCTGAACAACACAGCAGGCTTAGCGGCCAAGATCTTCTTCCCGTGGCCCAACAGCCAGTGGCCGCCGGACGCCGTGGGCAGATGCCGCAGCGGCGAGAACCAAAAGGGATACACAAACAACGACCAGATGCCGTGATACACAAACACCTGCGCCAGCAGCAGCACCGCGGCCGCCTGGACAAACGACGCCCGAGACCACGCATCCTCGCCCAAATACGTCCATCCCGCGCCGCCGAGGACAGCCGTGGCCAGCATCAGCTTGAGCGCCATGGCTTCAGAGGCTCGGTCACGCCCTCTTTATGTGTGTGTGTTGTCTGTTGGGACGCCAGTCGTTCGTTGAAAGTAGTGGTGCCACGGCACCCAAAAAGAAGATGGTGTGTCGTCACTGTACCAAGGCTTTATAGAAACCAGCACAGAGTCGCAACCGCAAACGCGGGGAAAGAAAAAAGGCAAATATAAAGTTAGACGGAAATAACAACGAGAGGAACACGAGAGAGATGTTGTGACAAAGTTCTAGAAATTTTAAGGTTCAGACCACAATCCAGTAGATCAGATTACCGTATTCAGCTGATCGATAGAGGCTTGCTCAATGTTCCCTGTGTTGCCAATACAATAAAAAGGCTTTGGGACCCTTCTTTCTATCTTTAAATGTAGATAGAGTCTTAGAGTTTAAATGTGGGAAGCGTAAGGAATAAACGTCAAATGAAATAAAACTTGAAGCAAAGAAAAGGGGAATCCAAAAATATCAACTACTATTTACATTGATTCCATTAAAGACCCCTCCCTTCTCACTCGCTCTCTATTAGCCCAGGCAGGAAAATAACTGCCACGAATGCCGTTCCCCAGCCCCAACGGAGTTCGCATCATAAAAATGTTGAAACTGATCCTTCCCCCTAACTAATAGCCACTTAACCGGGAACCGCTTTTTCACGACCGGGATTCCAGGCAGTCCGCGCGTCCGGGTTTCCTCCGGAAGACTTACTGCATTTATGCGACACAAGCGAGGAGCGTATTGTCGTATCAGGAGTAAGCTAAAGTAATGCTGATGGGTAAACTTGTTTGACCAAGAAGCTTGTAGCCTAACAAGTTCGTTCTTACAGTACAAGAGAGATATGCTAGTAATACTACAAGGGTGAGAGAGCTCTCCACACCCACCGAAGCTATCCCGGCATTAAACGCCCTGCTAATTGTGGCTTGCTATCGCTGATAAGATGAACTCTCTCACTTCTAGATGATACTCTAAAAAAAAAAGGAAGAAAATGATGAAAAGCTGACGTTGAGTCTTGATGAGCGGATAACGGGCTTAAATTTGCAATAAAGACCCGTACCCTAAGCTTCATGTGCAATGCCACCGTGGCGTCCCCGAGCTCTCAGCCGTCGGTCGCAGTTGTCCCATCGACCGGCTTTCAGTAAGAGTTGGTCGTCCTCCGGCTCCGCTTCCCCCTCTGTGCTGTATGTACTGTTGAAACTTTAGTTGTTCTAAGCAGCCGCCAAACGACAGCTCAGCTCAACTCAGCTCGAATCAGAATGCCAGACTCGTCTGCGCTAAAGCAGAAGATGCCCAGATAGGCAATACTGAATGTCAAACTGCGCCCTAATCCTTCTTACCAGCGCCATCTTTTCTGTCGGGCCTGTGAATGAGCATGTATTTATCACGTTTGCTCTAGTAAGGCATCATGTCTTCATTCGCTAGAATTCACTCGCTATGCTCACTTACTCCTCACTAACCTACACGCCGAAACTCCATATACAAAAGTTATATCCTCCTCTATGTACAATCGACACAGCTCACACTCGTATGCAGTAAACGCTTAAAATCGGTATCAAAACAAAGTCAAAGCCCCAGGGACAAGAGCGAGCGATAAGAAACAAACGAGAAATCCAGGGGAAGAAAAGAAAGAGAAAGGCGTTGTGACCAATGGACACAAGGTTCTCTCATCAACTTGGGAGCCAACCAGCCGCTTCCACAATTGCGCTCTCAATCGTGCCGACTCCGCATCCATCTCTTCACCATGGCCGAATCCTGTTCTGTACTGCGGACGCCACCGAAGTATTTGTTGGCTGAGGTTGGGCATCTGCCGTGTTTTCACCATTGTCAGTGGGCATCGTCGAACTTGATGAGGCCCCCTCATCTGGTTGTTGGGCCTGTAAAGGTGAAAGAGCTGGCTCTAATGGATCACTGTCCGCATTGGCTGTCACCGCCCATGCATTACCACGTGATGGTCGATACCTCCGATGCCGAGGAACTTCCCTCTCCTGGCTCATAGGAGGATGTGCGCCTCGTTGTTGGGGCGCTCGAGGCAGCCACTGAGAATTTCTTGCGTTATCTCTTTGGGCATTCCGAATCGGCGAGGTTGCAGTCGTTGCCCTCGACGAGGCCGATGACGCGGTTTCGCCGTCATAAGAAGATGAATCTGAGTCACCAGTCGCATGAAACGGACGCCTTTCCATAGCAAGCTCTTGACTTCCACCAAGGCCCTCAGCAGATACAAGGTTGGACATGAGCCTCAGATACATCTCTTCCGTTGCTCTACAGTATACGATTAGCCGACGTTCTGTGTACATATAAGAGAGAGAGAGAGAAAGCTCGATGAAAAGGAAGGGGGGGCTGGAAAGACAAATGGACGGCTAACCCAGGAGGAAGTTGATGACGAGCACTCATCATAGCCGTAAAAAACTGATTGACGACGCGCTCCGGATGCTTAGGCGGCAGCTCTAGCTTGTCACGACAGTATGGACAGCTATCAGAATCCTCAAACCACCTTGCGAGGCAGTGGTTCCCAAAGACGTGTTTGCATTTTGGCAGCCGCAGAGGTTCCTCGTTAATTCCCTCGGGAGTTTTTGCGCCGTAGTCATTGTAGCAAATAACGCAAGCTATACGCCAGGTTAGCTCTCCATCTGCTGAGATCACAAGAGTCTGCAGTGCATACTTCTCTCATTCTCCGGCAATTCTTGAATCTCGACTTTCTGCAAAAGAGAACGCGAAGATTTCACTGTCATCTTTTCCGCCAAGGTATGAGTTCTCTGCTCAGTTGTGGCCCCGTTGGCAGTTCCCACAGCGCCCTGCAACTGGTTTATTACTCGGTCTCGGTCCGATCTAGGGCCACTAGTATCATGTGTCCCGTTCTCCTCTATATCTCTATTCATATCTGCAGCTGTCAAACGGCTATTTACAGACCGGCGTGCCCTAGAATGGCCCGATCTGCGATGCGTGTGTGCTGGAGGCCCAGATGGGTCGACATAATAGGGTGGCGGGCCATCTGCACGTTGGTTAATATATTAGTAAAGAAAAGACAAACATGTCATAGATTTGTTGAGAACTTTTCAGAGAAAAGGAAAAATGGAAGAAACTTAGAATGCGAGCCACTTACGGAGGGAGGGGCGCGGGACTCGTGGAGGGGTTCCAGACACAGAGTGATATTGGGGCCGGCGGAACGGCGGTAGAGGATGGGGACTGGTCTGCAGAGGCGTGGATAAGGATCCGGGAAATTGGTTCATGGGAGGGACTGGATGATGTGGTGGATAGACAATATGTGGCTGTACATCTGATTCCAGGGCTACGCCACTCTGCCCCTGACCCAGCTCGTTTTCCGACGTCTGCCCGGGATACAAGCTGGGTTGGGCATATTGCATAGCAAGAGGGTTTGGTGGAACAGGAGGCGGAACCGGCATTGGCGAGAAACCCTCAGACCATGGTCGAGCATGGGGCATAGACATAGGATGAGAGTACGACTGATAGGATCGAGGCGCTGTACCGGGCACCGGAAGCCCGCCAGGGGGGCCCATTTGAAGTTGTGAGTCGAAGCCCACGGCGAACGGTCTGTGCAACCCGTACATATGGGGGACCGGAGCCTGGTTTGGTGTCCATGGTGGATGTACTGGATGATGATGACCAAGCTCGCGTCTCCATTCCGGTGTTGTGCCATAAAGATACTGATCAGGATGAGGTGTCGGCGCAAAGGTATGAGGTTCCATTGGTTCAACCACAAGCTGTATCCAGCTTGGGGCCAACCTGTAGCTTTCAGGATCGGCAGGAGGTGGGTAGGTCAAGCTCATCCAGCTATCGACTCTCAGAGACCCTGAGCTCTCTGTTGGAGGTTGAGTATAGATAATATGTCAAGACGATCCAAGTTTCTGATATCCAGAAAAAGCAAGAACACTGACGGTAGAGACGGAGGTTGCTTGAAGAAGTGGATCTAGTAACGGTAAAGGTATATCCAAGGTATAACTTCGCTGCAAGTGGACTTGTCCAAAGCAAGGCCAGATATATGGTGTATACGAAGAGAATTCGTTCGTATATAAGTTTGTATGTATGAAAAATATGTCCAGGATCTTTACTGCGGTGGTCTCTCAGCCAGAGGGACGGATCCAGGGTCTGTGTTTAGAACGGCGGATTGAGAATCTCATGAATATTTCTTGAAGAAGACGGAGGTAAAGACCCATCCAAGCTCAGGCAGGTTCTCCCGGATAGACAGTTGGGAAGTCTTGATACGAGACAAAGCAAGGTTTTTTTTTAGTGCTTTTTTTCTTTTTGGGGAAGGAGGACAGAACGCAGAAAATTGACGAGGACGTTATAGATGTCCTAAAGAGGAAGATTCCAGGATATATATATGCCTAGGGAATATGGAAATCTTCTCGCGAATATGTGGAATCAAGATATCAGAGTCCTTGAACAAAGCATATTTTATTGAATTTCCCACGGATTTTCAGGAAGCTTGCTTGAATGGGGGCGTTTCAGAAGAGGCTTTTACTTCGGCCTCCTCATGATATGAGTCCTTTGGGTTTGTTATGTTGACTTCCGCAGTACCGTGTCGAATGTATGAGTACCTGGGCGGAAAGTTCTCAAGTATGGCTTATTGAGAACGCGCTGGTTCCGCTCAGCCACAAGTGGATCCAGTTGGCTTTGCAACTCCACAGAGCGTGGGCGGAAGACGACGGGATCTTCTGTCAACCCGGAAACTCGCACCTGGCTTTTCCTAGGTTTTGGATGAAACGCCAGATGCGGCAAGTATAGATGGCTATGCTGATGGAAGAGTATGGCGGACTTGGTCTTGTCCGAACCAAGAGAGCGATGCTTAGGAGTCAGAATGTTGGGCAGCTGCGAAAACGAACACGAAAGCGCCCTTGAATGTGCCGAGGGTTGACGTCAAGGGCGAGGGCGAGGGCGAGGGCGTCGGCGAGAGAAGGTGCAAGGGAGCTGGAGGCGAAGCGGAGGCAAAGCGGAGGGAGGAGCGCCCGCGGAAGAGCAGGAGCAGAAGGAGGAAGGAGGAGAGCCAGAAGCCGGAAGTAGGAGCTGGAGCTGGAGAAAGAGCAGGAGCGTATAAGCTAGGGCAAGAGCACAGGCAAGAAAGAGGACAGGCACAGACGCAGGCCTGAGAATGAGCAAGAGCGAGAGCTGGAGGCAGCAGCAGCAGCAGGATTGAGAGCAAGAACAAGAGCAGGAGCAAGAGCAAGAACGGAAGCAATGGCAAGAGCAGGAGAGGTGAGCTGAGCTGAGCCGAGCCGAGCTGAGCCGGGCAGGTGAGGAAAAAAAAAGAAGAAAGGAAAAAGAGAAGGGAGGAAAGGAAAAGGAAGAGGAGACACAGATGGAAGATGGAGCTGCAACTGGAGCTGGAAATGGAGCTGGGCAGCACGCGTGATGACAAGGAAAAGATGGGAAGTCTAAAAGGCGCCCAGTCATGAATCGCATTGGTATGGCATGGTAAGGTATGGTAAGGTATGGTAAGGCATGGTATGGCATGGCATGGCATGGCATGGGCACTTGCGTCAAGGTCATCACCACCTTGGAGCTACCCAGTCCAGTCAGGCCGTCCCTGTTGGCCCTGCATCTGCCTCAGGGCGCCAGTCCGGCTCCAGTCAGGCAAAAGCAGCACAGCGCAGCGGCCAAATCAAATCAGCGGCAAAAGGCGTCGGATGAGCCGCTTCTGCTGGGCGAGTCACGGCTTCGGCAGCCCGCAAAGCGAGTCGCCCGCCATAGCCGTTTTAACCACCGACCGCTGCTCTGTTTTTGGGTCTGCTCAGCTCTGACCTGGATGGCCGTCTGTCTCTTCTGTCATTGTTGACCGACCGACCTGACAAAAATTAAAATTCGAGCTACCCAGATACCGTGTCGTCGCACCGACCCGCACTGTGGCGCTAGGAGACACCCGACCTCACTCCTCACCTCCGCCATGGATCAGTTGGGTTGCAAATACGCAGTGCGAGCCGGTGTTTGCAAAAAGCCTTGGACGACAAATACGGCCATTTGCATGCAGCAACCTTTGGCGCGGGGCGCAGAAATGCACAGCCTGTGGACCTCAGTCATGCCAGCCGGCCATGGGGAAGAGGCAAAACCAAAAGGCCAGCCAGCTTTGATTTGAAACCACCTAGTCCGATGCAAGAGCCAAATGGCAATGGAACTTGGGCTTCTCACCTGATAAGCTGCATTTTATTGCCTGACGCCCAAGCCGTGGAGCCAGCCTCCAATCTTTGGCAGCAAACTCCAGAAAACTCCGGAAAAAAAACCACCCAAGCAGGCTTCCCTGCATTTACCGAGTGAGCGAGCACAAGAAAACCAAGGAAACCAAGAAACCGGCAGCAGCCAGGGCGTGGCCATCACATGAGTCGTCTCTGCCCGAGCGGCCTGCGGGAAATGAAATGGCGCCAGCCAGACGTCAATCAGCTCCAAACAATCAAAGACCCCGTCAGCTATGGGCCTCGTGATTGGGATTCCAATATTGCGTGTCGCACCGTGCTCACGCCTCTTGCTTCCGTGTGGCAGCCAGTCGGGTTCAAGCTCAGGCCAGGTCGTCGCTTTTGCTGTGAGACGAACTAGATTAGCAGCGACGCCGCTGTGACGGATCAATTCTTCCCTCTCCTCTCCCTCGCTTTGGCCGCTTGGAGAATCAGCAGCACCTTATTCAAGCACACCGGCGCCTTTTACACAGTCACTTCACACGGCCCTTACGTATTACATATGCGTATGTAGGCCGTGCTGTCCGTCGGAGCCCACGCATCGGGCCAGTGCCGGAGGACTTGTCCGTGCCTCCGGAGACCTTCCCGATCCGGCCATGTTGCAGCATTTATATCTTCTTCTTCCATAGTCTCCATATGAAAACCGCAGCACATACGGAATACTTGATGCTCCCCTTGCTGCATCTTCGCTTCTCACGCAGCCTCCTGTAGGTCTTTGCTTTATCTGCCTGGTCTCTCCCAAGCACCCGCACTACTGTCCATGCAGCCGCTGGGGGGTCTCCATCATGGCTGTGAGGGGTAAGATGCTGTAGGGATGCTTTGTGATGAAATAGGAGGGGCTACGCTATGGTTTTGTGGCGAGGCAGTCTTAAGCATTCAAAATCCAGCCCCCTCGCTGGCTAGTACAGCCAAGGAGTGAGGAGCTTCTCTCTCGCCTAATGCACTGGAATCTTTCATTTTTTCCCTCGATCATTACGCGACCAGGCGTATGCGCAAACAAACCACCGAAAACGGCGCCTTTCGGGCCTTGCAACCTTGGTCCATGCTACGCATACAACTCTAAAGTCCGAAAAACATTCCTCTCGGGCTTTTAGGACCGTCGTCTCTTTTCGCATCAGCCGCATGGAACAGCAGCAGCCCAACAGGCCGAGACTAAAGCACAGCAGTGGCGTGCTAATTATTCCACTCCGTCGTCTCTCCATGAATGGCCCATTCGACTTTCATATTTGCTTCTTATGCGGCCAGCCGTCTGACCTGTCGCCTACTCTATCTGGTGCATGTGCAAAGTACCTCGCTTGGCTCTGCTTTTCTTGGTTCTCGTGCCGGCGTGTCTCAACTTTTTTGAGTGTCCTGCGGAGCAAATGCTACTTCCACCACTGCTACTTGTACCACTGCCAGCCATCCAGCCAAACCTGACCTGCTCCGTACATGGGAGGGATAGGACAGAAAAAAAAAAGGCCCTCTGGCCATCCTGTTGATCGACTTCCCTTTTCTCCCTCGGCTGCGTTTCTATCCGGGCCCTGTCTTTGTCCAACCCCGAAACTGGAAACTTGAATCACAAGATCCCCGCCGCCGGCCGCACTGTTCTTTGGCCAAGCGGCTGCTGCGGTAATATCTGTTTTTTTTTTATCCCTCTCCAAAACCAATCCTTGCAGCGAGATTTTCCCACACATAGATAACACAACAGTCGTCATCCATTCCCTCCGGGTGAACTTTCTGAAACTTCGTCTCGTTGAGCTCATAACTGCGCAGGTTTATCCGGGCACCGCCATATACTTTATCTAGTAGGAGCTACCGGCCCAGAGTCGTATTCAAAAGAGGTCAAGCAGATCTCAGCTAGATTGTCTAGCCAACACTTCTCCAATATCTGTGGGCTATTGAAAAGCCTCTTTAGCGAAAAAGGCTCACGCCGTTTGTTGCTCTTGTGAGGCCGGTTCGATTTACTAATTCCTGGCGCGCTAACATGTATTTTTACTGAAAAGCCAGCCCAACATGCCTCAAAAACAAAGAATGTACACGTTGGGTTTGAATTTGGATTGCCAGTGCTGCACACCCTCGTCATATCCCAATGGATCCGGCTCTGCGACGTAATACTCTGTACTCTATTTAACTCTATTCTGAATCAGGTCACTCTCCGAAACTCACAATCCACTCAACGTCGTTACCTCGTATTAATCAACACCCACGGGTCGACAGGGCAACTAATTATATGGAAGGGCGGACTTCTCTAGTTTTGCTTTTTTTTTTATTAAACCCTTGACAGGTGTCCAAAGTTTGTCGCGGAAAACAGTGACATCTTCTGACGCAGACGACCTTGATCGCCAATCGTCCGGCTGCGTCTGACCGAAGCGCCGACTCAAGACTTAACCGAATCCCGCCGCCACTCTCATGTTGCAGCATGACTGCAGCTAGTCTCAGTCCCTCCCTTCAACAGACGTCTGGGCTCACTTGGCTCGATTTGCAGGAATCGATTGTCGGCCAATCTGCTTCCACCCAAAAATACCTAGGCATCTAGGCACGCACGTACACTGGACACGTGTTTCATGTGTTCTCGTTTATCGAGAAGATCCGGATTTCTGAGACAGTTGTTAGTCATCGCGGCGCCTGAGAGTTTAAGAGTTTTGAGATCTTGTAAAGGCCTTTGCCCTCAATGGACGTGCGGCAGCATTCATCGTCAAAGTAGGGTATCATCGGGTCCTTTTTTCCATCGAGCTGGAGCGAAGCTGAGGACGATCATTTCTTTGGTAGTCGATATTTCCCCCCCACAAGCTCCAGATCGCCCTCTGTAATTTTTTCGCCAAGGAATTCCTGCAGTTCCTCATTACTCCAGGGGCACCCGTCGGAGAGGAGCATCTTCATCATCATGGCAATTTGCCCAAGGGGCATCGCCGGGCTTGAATTGGTCAGCATGCCGACGATGAATTGCCAGTACACGGTCCTCTGTTCCTTTTCCTTTGCACTCATGCTCTTTGCCTTCTTTGGTGACGGTTGTTCGTTTTCCACATCGCCGCCCGCTCCAATGTCATCCTCCGCCAGCTCCTTGTCTCCTGTATCGCTATCAAGCGTCTCCAGCACCAGGTACGTCTTGTTGCCGATATCGCTCAAAACTCGCTGAGATACCCAAAACTTAAGGGCGCTCTCTAAAAGGTCCTCGTCAATCATGAGCTTCTCCCATATCTCGTTAAACGTTCTTTGAGCCGGGCCAGATGACCCTGATCCGTCATCGTCGCGGTGGAATTCGTAAATCACAGCCGCCTCATACGTTTTGCAGTCCAATTCAATAGAGCGATCATCGAGATCCAGCCTGACTGTTGCTGATCCCAAGTGGTCCAGCCAATTGAGTTTCCGTGAAGACTTGAGCTGCTCGAATCCAGCTTCGTATTTCTTCTGAACTTGTGCTACCGGTAAGGGCACAGTAAATGGATCTTTAGGTAGACTCGGCCAGAACAGACGTGACAGAATCTTGGAATGATATGAGAGCGAGTGCGGCTCCAGTGCGCCATCGCTTCTCAAGTTCCGGCGAAGGACTGAATCCACGCGTTTGGAGTCTACAATGTCTCGTATCATGACATCGCAGTTCTGTAAAGCTGCTTCTCCAAACCGCTTCTTCAGCAGACCGAGAACCTTAATCTCCTGCTGGAAGCCGGTTTGCTTGGAAAGCAGTCGTTCCGCAACAATGACTTGAAACTCTTTGATGAAGACATCTTGTAAGCCAAGAGCACTTATCAGTGTGCCTATGATGTCCTCATTCTTGGGCCGCTTGTAGTTGACACTCGCGTCCACAGGGTCTGGGACCCAGCTCATATCGTTCCAGCCAAGATCCTCATCGTCAGCGCGCCCTTGATGCTGCTGTGACGTTTCGTTCAAAATAACTGCAAGCTCCACCAGCTTCCCCTGGTTCTCCTCGGTATGTGCAGTGTTCGGGTTGGCCAATAAGCCTGTGACGACGATGCGAATGGCATCATCCCTGTTCCACAAACATAATTTCAGCGCCGGCACAACTCTGTCGAGCAAGACTTTGGAGTGGTCCAGCGCATGGAATGTTCGTATCATGGAAATGTAAGTCTGCAGAATGTCAAGTGTGGAGCGGCCGGGATGTAACAGCCTGGCCTGGAGGGTGGCCGAGAAGGCATCTGTGAGCTGAAGGCGACGCTGAGGTGTAGTCACGGAAGACGCCAAGTCATCGAGGCCTCCTTTGCTGTCTGGCCAGTGTAGGACAATATCAAAGAGCTCGTGCATCCGCAGTGTCGCAAGCCGCCCAGTGGCTACGTCTCTCCACCGCTCTACGTCGTTCCAGGCCACTTGGCCACCAAGGCGGTGGAGGACTTCCACTGCCAGCCGAGCATAGCACTTCTCAACCCAGTCGCACAAGTGATTCAAGCAGACAGGCCCTGTTGGCACTCGAGTATTGCGTCGACCACTGGATACCTTCCACACTCTGCTATAGGAATCTTTGATGAATTCTTGCATGCAGGCATCCATCATCTCAGCAAACAAGACTTGAAACTTGTCGCCTCCCAATCCAACCTGGTGCAGGGATTCGAGGAGGCCGAGAAGTTCACCGCGTGCCTTGGGGACTTCGGCTTCTCGGCTCCATCCCGGTCCAAGGCCATTGTCTCGACTACTAGAACCCAGTATTATCCGCAGACTATGATGCAAAACACTACGGAGAACAGATATTAACTCCGGAGTCCACGAATTACCAACAATAGCGTGCATGTCTCTCCTGAACTTGGTCATGGCTGCTTCTGCGGGTGCGTCATCGCGGAAGCCTCGAACGACGAGCATCAGCCCGTACAGGTACTGTCTGTGGGCAGCCTCCAGGGTGCGTATGATGCTGCGAAGAACCTGAGAGTGGCTCTGCTGATGGCTAGAGGTACATGCGGCAAGCAAAGGGAGCACATGGTGGAGGAAGTGCTGACGGACTTGTTGAGAGTGCCACAGCAAGATGTCCTCAGTGTGAGCAGCTTGCGGGACGGTAGCAGCAGGATCCAAGACAAGGGTTAGAGAATCGTAAAAGGTCACATCGAGATCCTGGGATTCGGGCACCAGAGCACCAAAGGAATCTTCGACGGCCACAGACGTAGGGAGTTGAATGCGTGAGGTGACTACATGCCAGGCACGATCCCACCGCAGCTGATCGCTGACAACAGTGGACGACGATTGCTGGGTAGAAGTAGAATGATTGCCACGCGTCCGTCGGCCAGTCACAGCCGCAGAACCGTGTGCACTGCTTCCGCTGTGGCTGGCAGCGTGTCTCTTGGGACGCGATGATGATGATGACGAGGACGACGGCACCGGCAATGGTGCATCCTGGCTCCGGATTGGCTCACCGGCCTCACCGATGGCAGCAGCTAGAGAAACCGGCTGCAAGGCATCGGGCGGGAAGACGGAGCGAAACACATGTTGTTTGCGGGTGCGTACTCTGGCGGCGGTGGTGGCCATTGTTGACACCATCAGGGCCAGGCACCGTCTCCAGCTTGTTTACTGTGCTCTTTTCGCGGCCTGGAACTTGCGGGCGGAATTAGCAGACGAGGCTCAGATGTGCCACCAAAACCTTGCGAGCCATTGCCCAGGTCAAGGTCAAGCAAAGGACTTTGGTATGCTAGCACAAAAGCAGGCTGTGATAGGCTGTGCTTGGCCGAGAGGCGAGGCTGCTCGTCGCGGTCGTAAATAGGCGAGTGGGGTGGAAGAAGCAAAGAAAGAAGAAGCAATCAGGGCTAGAAAGAATCGGGTGCCGTTGCGGGGGGGTGTGACTCAAGCCCCGTGGTTGGCTGGACCAGTACTAAAAGGTACAGGACATCAGAGGTACCTTTTTCCGCGTCTGGACGTGCGGAGGGACAAGTCCGGAGTTCGGACAACAATGTAACGCAGATGTACCGGGCAGAACGGCTCAGATACGAGCAAGAAATTGAACCTTGCCCAAAATATGACAAGAAAAAGAGAGGCTCGGCTAAAATCAGGCCATTTTGGCAAGGGATCTGACCTAGCTTTTTGGTCGGGGGGCTTTGACGGAGCCTCAGGCAGCGGCTCAGGCCCAGTCCCGCTGCAGTAAGCGACATACAGCGCTTAAGTGCGCTAAGCGACGCGCCCCTAGACGCAATAGATTAGCGGTGCATCTTCCCTGCCACCCCCCAAAAAGCGAGAACGAGAGGGGACTTAGGTCAGCCACCTACGAGTACTAAGCGGTGCGTTTGTACGTCTTGGGCATGCCGAGCTTGCTTGTGTTATTTGGGCAGTGGAGAGAGACGAGGATACGGAGACAATTTGGAAGAAGAGGAGGGCAAAGAAGAGCAGAGAGTCGAACAAGGGGAGAGAGTACTAGGTGACTGTAACTACTGACAATGCCGAGGATTGGGAAGAGACGGAGGAAAAACAAAGGAAGAAAAGAGGAAAAGGACAGGGGGCAAGGGGCTAGGGAGGAAAATGAAAAATGAAAAATAAGAAAAATAAAATACATACGAATAAATAAAAACAGAAGAAGAAAAATAAGCTGCTGCTGCCAAGCCAACGAATGCAGTCTTTACGAAATCTACGCCGATTGAGTTACAGGTATGCATTATCGCAAATCCTTGCCCCTTCGCCGATTTACCCACCTGGCTCTATCTCGGGTCACGATGCTTGGCCACAGGCTTACCCATGAAGACGCATCGCACATGTCCCCTTACTAGTGCGCAGTATCCCCTTCCGAGGGGAAGAGATAGCTGGGGCTGGCAACTTGAGATTGGCTGCCCAACGCGCAGCAGACACGGCAACTCTCATTCCTGTAAGCTGATGAATAGGAGAGAGATAGGCCCATTGTGGGAGAAGCGACGGGTGGAAATATGCATCTCCCAAACACCGCGTATGAGTGCTTTGCATAGTCTTCTAAGCGTCAGAAAGCAAATGAAAGGAGGGGGATCGCTGCAGGTTTACTGTTGAAAACAAGAAACAAGGCAGTGAGGAAAAAGGAAAGAAAAGAGCCTCGAGGCACTATTGTGTTGATACTATTTACAGCAATTATGCTGTGTACCAATGCGAGATATGCGAGAGGGAGCTCGCGTCTTTCTCCTCACGCTAGCAGCAACATACACACAGGATACTTTGCACATGTCGGGACGCCGACCCTTACCACATCCGCTTTTCGGGACAGTCTCGGGACACTTTCGGCCGGAGACGAGAGTTCACTCGGGGCCGGGAGTGGTCCATAGCGAGCTTCCTGGTGGCCAGTGGATACCCCCGTTCCAAGCCTCAGTGACTAGCGACTTGGGAGTTGATTACCCTGTGCAAGCGGAACAGCGGTAGCACTGAACTGGCCCAAAAGTGCCTCCGAAACGCATGACGGCTGTTGTGTAGCAGTGGCAAGCAGGGATCATCTATCCCGCGTGAGTGTGCAAAGTACTTGGTGCTAGCACATCCCTATCTCACGGCTCGTGGCTCGTGGTTCGTGGTTCGCGCTCCAAGTGTGAAGCCACCAACAGCTGCCCCAGTCGCGCGACAGGCCAGCGACAGCCGTAGTGCCTGATTCTGCAGCCCCGGCAGGGTCGAGTGGTAGGGGGGCCCAGCCCACCATCAAACAGCTTGACCCAAAGTTGCAGTATCCATGTATCCTAGGAGAAGAGCTCGAACCCTGGAGGCGCTAGGTAAATTTTAATGTTGCGCTCGGATGCCTGTTTGCTGGCCTTGATTGCGGGACCAGTGGCGGTTTTCCGTAAGCACTCTCATCTGGCATTCGCTCCTCGCGTCTTTTTGTCTCCGGCGAGCTCTAAGTAGATCTAGTGCCATTCTATGCTGCTTCGAATGGAATAGCTGATTTTTGCTTTTCATTCGGTACGGAGTACTCGGGGCTCTGTATTTCTGTATCATAAGTGTCCCCTGGTCCCTGTGGAGCTCGATCTTGCCAAGTTTCTCAAATACTTGCTGGGGTTGGCATTGCTCAAGTTGCCTTTGACTTGTGTTAGCGTACAGTACAAAGCAAGCACAAGTAACGTGCAAGTAAGCCACACGTTCACCTGCAGCGTCTGGCCCCGCCCATGAATCAACGGCCCCCAAATGCCTAGAAAAGACTCATCGAGGCCTGTCCTGTCTTCACGGGCAAAGGGAGGGCAAGCTGGGCGAGGTAGTCGCCGTTCAACAGGCATGAATGATTGCCTGAGCAGCTAGAGCGTACATGATGCCCAAATAATATGCGGTTAGCTTTGCAGTATGCTTTTGTTCAAACAAAGGGAAGAGGAGGGGTGTAAGGGTGGGGGGATATTGGAAAAGAAAGAAGGGGGCAAACCGTCGAAATTACTACATTCGAGCAGCCATGGTGCCAAGGGCTGGCGGGAAGGGGAGTGGCTGTCCAACACACCCCAGTAACTGCTTTTCACAAACAGCACAGTACGAATTGCTCGTATGGATCGTATAGCAAGATGCCAGAAAACCAAACGCCTCTAATCTGTCTACCAAGGTTCCTAGGACTTTGCCATTCTTCTAGTATCGCTTCTGTCGCTACTGTCGCTACCTGGTAGCTAGGTCAGTGTCAATATTCCTCTAGCATCTCACCTCCAAGGACTAAGTGGTTTTCATACCTGATAGGGACATGGGATGCGACATGGCCACTCCCTAACATCACTGGAGCTTCTCTCATCCGGCATCGCTCGCAGCCGGCGTCGTTGCTTTTCCCTTTCACTGTTCTCGGCACATCTGACGCAGGGCCTGCTCATCAAGCAAGCAACCATGCACCTTGCTCTGGTTAGGAGGGTTGGAGGGTTAGAAGACCAGCGATTTGGAATGCGGATCAGCCTGTCCCGTCCATCGGCCCACCCTGCCGTCTGCTGAGTCCTTACTCGAAGGTGAGGAAATCCTGAAAGCTCGCACAGGCAAAGGTACTGGTCTGGTAGAGCGGCACGGGAGCTCATGGGCGACCGACCCTTGTCCTGCGCGATAACTTGCCAACACTGTACAAGCGCAGTACCTTTACGCTCGGTCGCGAAGAAGCGAGCAAGGGGAGCGTATTCTGTATTCTGGCCTGGTGTGGGCTGTGGAGCCCTACAGGGCTGTGGTGCGGAGTAGCATCGTTCATTCACTTATGCGGGACTCAGGTGGGTACAGCGATATGCAACCGCATATGCACCTCGAGGGGCGTGGCTCTTCATCAAGAGCACATGCCCTGCCCCACTACAAGGATGTCTTTTCTGCACTTCTCGGGCACCTGCCGCTCGACACCCCCCTCCCACATTCTTTTGTTTCTCAAGGGCCCTTTTTTACGTTCTTATTTCCATCGCCAACCTGACTGACACCCCTACCGAACTTTTTATTACCCTCTAGGCAGGTTCGCTGTGACTTTGTGCTGTCCTGGCCCGTGTGGGTGCATCGTCTATTGACTCGTCTCAAGAATGAGTTTTCCTTTTTCGAGGAAATCGTCATCTTCGGCATGGCTAGGCCCCGGCCCCTTATTAACAAGTCCCCCCCTCTCGAAGCAAATCACAGAACACACAGACATACCAAGGTAGATGGGATGCCGCCTCGACGCCCAATCATCCAATCACCCAGAGGAGAAATACCAAGGTTCTTCGACTTGCCTCTTCGCGAATTCAGCCCCCGACTCGCTGCTTTCGACGGGACTTACATCTCAGGCATGCCAGGGTTCGCTATCTCATCTTGTGACTGTGATGGGTGCACGCAACGCACCGAAACGTCTCTGCCGGCTGGCTAGGACGTTTCATATTACGTCCGCGTACAGAATATGCAGTGCACTGTCACTGCTTCTTATTTCCAATGTTTTTTTTTGGAAGGCCAAGCACCGGCTGAGGTATCCCAGCATTCCATACAGATTACGGGGAGCCTTGCCTGCCAACCACGAGGCACCTTGTAGGTACGACAACGCAGTGCTCGCTCAAATGCCGTGCCCCACGCGACGTTGCTGGCATTTGTTATTCGCCAGTGCCAGACGATTCATCCTAGACTGCGATGCACGGGGTCGAAGCCATCAATGCGATACATTTTTATTTAGAAACACAGCGCCAGGAAAGCTGCCAAAAACGAAGCCAGCAACTTTCAGAGCCATCTATTTACAACGCGGCTGTGCCACATCTCTCTAGCAAAGCTAAATTCGAGTCTGCCCTGTGGGCTCTAGCCTGCCGGACGGCTGTCGATCACTGGCCCTATCGTATAACCGTGCCACTCGACCGCCTCCGAGGATTTTGACCAGTGAGATTGCCCACGCCTCTCCAAGCCCGTTCCCGTCCGGCCCCTTGTCATCTTGCTAGGCGGGTACGTGCTTGTGAGTAGCAAACTGGCGTTAGCCTCAGGTACAAAGGTACCGCGATGCACGGACTCGATGTTCACGGTACCTCGCTGACTGAGGCATCTGCGGCGTCAGACGAGGTACCCAGCCGTACCGTCCGATGAGTTTCGGACCTGCTAAAACCACTAAGCAGCCTAACTAAACGACCAATCCATGCCAGCATAAAAGCATCATCACAACAAATGACAGCAACGGGCAAGCATGTTGCATCACGTGGGCGGCTCTGTTTTCACTCTCTTCCGCCTTTTTCTTTTCTTTCCAGGTTGTCTCTCTCTGCCGCGGATTCGCAAAGCAATTCCAGTTGCCCGCGCACTCGTAGACCCTAGCCGTGTCTTGGCCCCATTTACAGTCCTGTTTATAGCTGAGACAGTCTCAAATCTACCTACTTATGGCACGCGTAATGACAGCATCGGACGTCTGCCGTACCCGAGAGCCTAGTTAGTGCCCATGTCTCTGCTACGGATGCTTGAACTTTAAGTTAAAGGCAGCTAAAATTCATAGCTGAAAAAAAATGGGCAATGGGCGTGGGTAGCTGCCGCATCGTAAGTTCTAGCCCGGAATTAATGGAGATTAACGAGCGAGTCATGTCGGTATTTGTAATTCAAGATGATCAATCACTAAAGTTGTTTTTAGGCGAGTGCCGATTTCATTAACATTTATAAACATGTGAACAAAGTGGTTGTGGACTTCAACTGTGCCAAATCGTATCGTCATAATAATACGCCACCCTGTATAAGGATGTGGCTCAAAAAAGGGGGGATGTAAGCCTAAAGCCTAAAAAACAAAGAAACGGGGGGAACAAAGTTGACAAAAAGGAAAAAACAAAACAAATACAGCCCAAAATAGGTAGCAGTTTCCTTCGCAACGGTGCGGACAGTTCCATCCTGTCTATGTACCTCTAGTTGTGTGTGCTCTAAAAATTGATCCCGTTTCTCTTATACCCTGGTATCATTGTTTCCCAAGGTCTCGCTGTTTGCCCAACACGTTGACCCGTAATTCATAATCCGTCCCATCAAAACACCTTGAGTATACCGGCAAAAGAGGAATAAAAGGAATAAAACAGTATTATACAAAGCCGCAGTCCGAAAATGTAAGAAAGAAGAAGGAGAAAGCATAAGCCGGCAAGGCGCAGTGAATCGAAGATCGCAGCCGAAACCTCCATCACCAACGATATGTCCGCGAATCGTCATCGCTGTGACACAAGGAACTCCACTGATGAGCTTATCTAAGCTCCGTGAGAGACCGCAATACGGGAGGCATTGCCTCCCTCCTCGTAGGTTAAAGCGAATGAATCACGGATTCGATGCGAAACTTGATTAAAAAATCATCTTTGTTCAGGAGCTTCGTCGTTGTTTGCACTTGTCGTGTAGAAGGTGGCCGTTTCGCGCAGTGGTTCTGGTGAATTCAGCGCCGCAGTTGGGGCAAGTGGCTTTGGCTGCTTGGCCGGATTTCTCTCGTTGGTGTCGTAGGAGGTTGCTAAAAGTCGAAAACTGCCGTCCGTTGCACCCATGCTCCCAGCATCGCGGCTTCGGTCTGTTCTGCACCACACGGACGTGGCCAGCGCTATCTTGGCTGCTGGAGCTGCCAGTAGAAGCTCCGCTGCCAGACTGCATGGCGGGCATGCGGTACACCATGCCGCTGTCTTGTCCGGTGGACTGGATGGAAGAGTGAGAGATACTGCAATCATGTTAGTATTCTAGCTGACACGTGATGGATGTTATCAACGTTGCGAAGATCTTACCTGTATGCATTTGAAGTACCATAAGTGGGAGGGTATTCCACCGACAAGGAATAGTTTGATTGCCTGGAAATATAGGTGTCAGCAGCCATTGGCATAGATATTGACAGTGTCTGCTACTTACAGAGGTTGTTGGTACGGAGAAGTAAACGCCTGCTCCTGCATGTGTGGGCTGTAAGGAGGGATGTATGATGGGTCGCTCAATGCTGGAGCTGGCTCGCTCAGGAGAGACATAGCTGGCGGAGCTGTCGTATAGATGGGGAGGGCCATGGTGCTTGTGACATCGGACACTGACATCGGTGGTGAGCTCAGGTATGAACTGCTGCTGCTACCTCGCTGGATTCGTGTGGAAGCTCTGGAATCTCGGCGGGCTCTGTCTCGTTGCTTCTTCAATTCTCGCTGCTCGGGAGTGAGGATGCCCCTAGAAGGGCTTGCGGGAAGCGTCTTTGGCACACTTTGAGGAGAGACACTGGATTCAGACACTGGGTGAAGAATTGACGAGAAGTCTTGCGCAATCATGGTGGATGTGGTGTTGCTAGATTCAAACATTCCTAGAAGAAGGAGAGAGTTAGTATTGGCTCTGTGGTCAGGCCTTGCGGAAGAGTCGACTTACCTGGCCACGAAAAAGTTGGCCGAGAGCCCACGCTAAAGGTCGGGTCGAACTGGATGGCAACGGCGCTGGGAGAATTGATTAGGCTCTGCTCAATGACATGAAGTAATGAAGCTTTCTTACCTCATACTGGCAGATAAGGGGACTATTTAAACCTTGCGGCTAAGAAGACTCTGAAGGTAACCTTCTGGTCTAACTATGCAAAAGTGTTGATAGGTGTATGGAGGGGGAGAGGAGGGGAAAAAAGAGAAGTCGAGCTGAGGGTCGGCCTGGTTTTATAAATCCAGGGTTCAAGTAAGACAGAGTAAGGCTGAAGCAGCTTCTGTGCCTTCACATAAGCAGCAGGCTGCGGTGGCGTGGGCTGTGACACGGAGATTCGGGGGTGGGCAGCACGAGAGTGTGTGGTGACTCCCACTAATAATGGGGGGAAAGGCTCTGAAGGCAGTAGACGCTTTGTTCAGCAGCTAAACTTGGTGTAAGTGCTCCGATCACGAAAAAAGGAGCCGCTTAGGAGCGACGAATGCCATTAATAGGAAAGGTTTATCATACAAGAACGTCCGGTGGCATAGACCGGCAAGAAACCAAGAAGTCGAGGCAAAAGCAGTGACAGTTCTGGTCGCAGAGATGGTCAAGCAGAAGAAAGCGAGAAGTGTTTGGCTTGTAGCTTTGCGTCGGGCGTCGCGTTTGCACACAGATTGCGGTGGTGAGAATTAGAGGCTAGAATAAGAAGTCTATCTTTGGATGAACGATCTGAGGCTCGGACGATTATTCTAGCAAGGACCAGACGACGACTTATATGAACGAAGCGCCATGGCAAAGCACGAGAGGTGGAGATGATGTCGAGTTCCCCGTTGGCCCAGGTGCATGACGAAGGGGGGCCTGGCAGCCCATCCGTCTAGACGGATGAGATTGAGGTACTCCCCCATGGCTATGGCTGAGCTTGAACTAGCTCCAAGGCGTGCTGGTGCTAGGATGTCGACATAGAACCACGCAAGGTACGACGTGCCAGTACAGAGTGAGTTGACGAAGGGGGAGTGAGAGCAGCAAGAATGAAGGCAGAGAGCCCTGGCAGGGGTGTGTGCGGAGGCTGTGGGCATCCCGGCGCCATGCCTTGCAGGGCTTGAAGTTGTTCGGACGTGGACATGGTGGAAGCGTATATGCGGTAACAGGGGTCGCAGGGCAAGGCGGGATGTCGTTATGCTAGTAGTGGGATGCTGGCATGTGGGCGGTGTACTGCATATATTGCATAAGTGCATCCGCTTGGTCTGGAGTAGATTGCCATGCAAGGTTGAGCTCAAGCGTCAGTCTTCGGGAGGCGAGGCGTCGGGGGTGTGGCAATAGGCGAGCCTTGAGCCCTTTGGAACTGGCGTGGGGTCAAGCTCATCTGCATTTGTGGGTGTTGATGATGAAGAAAATTGGGTGTGTGGTTGCTGACGGCTTGGCGGCGCCGTTGTGGCATCTTCAGAGCTAGGCTAACAAGGCCTGCCTACCAGATGTCTCTGTGGTACCTGATTGGAACCAGCTCTTGGGACCTGTGCGATAATAAGCGCGTCGCACGGCGCTACTTGGTGCTGGACTGGACTGGACTGGACTGGACTTTGTGGGCAAAAGGGCCTCGGACGAGAATTACAGCCAGATGCAGTTGGGCATCGCACGGGAACTTGGTGAGTAAGCGAAGAAGATGAAGGCATCGGCACTTGGCTTGTCCGCCCAGCCGACAGGCACCCCGGCAGCATCTGAGGAAGAAAAGAGAACCAGGAGGAGGAAACATCAACAGGCATGGAGGCAAGATGCACACACTGAGAGCCAAGGGCTGAGCCAAGGGCACGGAATTGGGGTTGGAGTTGGGGGAGGGCATGGGCCAGCACTTGTACCAGCTGCCACCCAAAAGCACGGAATTCTGACTTCGGGGTACGACGCTGGACTCCGTACGAGTACATGTGCAAGCCAAAAGATCCTGGTCCGGTCGTCTTGTTTGCTGCATGAGCGATAGGCCAACTCGCCCAGGGCGGAGCCGAACGCACTCGTGGAGTCCGAGCAGTAGCAGCAGACCAGATGGCAGCCATGGCTGGCAATAGCCGCTGTACGATGCTAATGCAATGCTAGTCGCAGCAATGCTTCGTACATGAAGACAGTTCGCACAAGGCTCTGTGGAAGCACAAGCAAGCACAAGCACAGGCACAGACAGCGGCCCAGGCAGGGCGAGAAGCCTCGGGAGAGCGCGTCGCATGTAGATTTCGGCCTCCATGTGTGATGTATGATGTAGGTACGCACGGGCGTTACCGGGCAGAAGCGTCGTACCTACGTCCATTCAGCTAGCAATCCAGACCAGACGATAGACTGGTCGACTCAGGTCCAGACACGGATCTGTTCATCGCGAACTGGCGACCCCATGGGTACATGTAGGCATGTATCTCCCAGGTCCATGTAGGCAGCATGGAGAATGTTACGGAGCATATCTGCCCGAGTTGGGGATCGGCAGATCATTCGAAGGGCACTCTAAATGGTTTTGGACCACATCTGTCGTGCAAGTAAGCCCGGATGAATATTGTCTTTCGTACCTGTACCAGACTCTGCTCAGTTGCCGGCGGTTTCTGCAGCGGCGAGGATATGTCGGTACGTACCCCGTATCGCCAAGCCAAAGTCCAAATCCAGCATGCTAGGCTACGGAGGCACGGAGTGCTCTGGTTGCATTCCCTGGTCGCGATCTGTGCTGGGTCAGTAAGCAATCCCATGATTGCGCGAGATTGGAGGCGGAAGTCCGTGAATGCAACCCAATCCCGGTACCCGCTGTCTGCTTCACGATAGGTTCAAGGTACCCAATTCTGTACATGCCACAGGTGTTCACAGATAGTATTTGTCCAACTGTCCCCATCTGGACGAAGGTACAGCATAGCACTCGTGCCGTAAGGGTCAGACGGGGCAGAAGCAAGGGCAGGGGGCCAGCGTGGAGAGAAGAGGATACATACCTAGCAGTACTGTACTGATTCGAGTAGCTCGTAAGTCGTATATTGGATAGATTGCACAGTTCTCGTACTGGACGCAGCTGGAGTTTGTGAGACAAATCAGAAGCAGGGGTGGGGGAAAGAAAGCTAGCCAAGCACACGATGCAACGAGATTTGAGCGAGGGCCGAGGGTACCTGAGGCAGCAAGCCTGTGCCGGCAGATGGGCAAGTACCAAGGTAGCCGTGCATCTACGGATATACGAGTGTGCCGTTTAGCAGAGGACGGCAGACACACTGTAAGGTACCGCGCCGTGTGTGCTCAATGCTGCTGCGCCCACTTCGAAATGGAAGTCAAGTCTTCGGGACGCACCGCTTCTAGAAACAGCCACTGTCGATGGGCTGAATCCTGCAAGTCAACAACTGAGACATAATTGGCACTCTCAAAGCCCACCTAGGCGTTTAGTTAGACAGAGAGAGCGCTGCCAATTGCCTTTTCCCCACGGTTCATTGGGGCAATGCTACCTGCTGTACATATGTGGGCAGTTGGCTCAGCCGTCGGGTTCGCACCCAGAGGGGATACTTGAAGTACCTGCTCGGCCTCGAAAAGAACCAAGGTACTCTACCTTGCCCGATACAGCGCTCTCTCGGCAGTACAGTCGCGAGATGCTGCCACCCAGTTCAGGTCCTTCGTATACTAGGCCAATTACAGCGTGCCGACCACAAGCGCTCAAACTCGCCAAACAGGCGCGGTGCAGCTTGTTGACTGCCCAGGACCAAAGCATCCGCGGGCATGTATGTAGCGACATCCTGGCCGTCCAACGCGCCAAAGAAACGGGACGAGTGCCGGAGCTGTGCCTCGGACACTGCCCAAAGGGGACTTTACACTGCCAAACAGAGAGAGATCTAGCGGCCAAAGGTACTCGGTACGTCTTCTTGCCCTTTTGGGAAATATGAAGCGCGGTCGCAAGTATCTTGTACTTGCCATTCTGGTCGATCGCCCTTGCCTGCATCTGGTGAGTCAGTGCGAGAGAGGTGCACTATCAACTGCACTGTCACTGTCACTGTCACCTCAACACCATCAAATCGTCATTTTTGCTGCTAATGCTGGTTATTTTTACGACCATGTATCTCGTCCTTCCACTCGAAACGGCCCAGTGCCAGCACACTGGCGCGAATCCCCTGACATTTCTGCCCTTCCAAAAATTCCCATCTGCTGTCTTGGCCCGAACACAGCGGCCTATCGGCGACCACAGCCGCCGATTCGAAGCACAACCCCCTTGAGGCGAGTTCAGCTTTGCATACGGGTGCAGGTCCAACGCCAATCACAGGCCAAGATCGGGATGGATTCTGGCAGCACATTCACTGCCACGGCCACCCTCAGCCCTGCGTCGCCAGACGAGGTCGGCGTCTATTCAACCCAATCGAGTCGAGGACACTGCATGCTGGGCTGCTCCCCGCCTCAGGCTAGTTCCAGGCCACGACAAAAGATCATTGGCATAGCGGTGCAAGCCACAGCCCTCTGGTCAACGGCTGTCGACTGGTGACTGGCTTTTGCGCATGGCCCCCAATCGGAAGATGACATCGTCACATCGGATGACCCCCTTCTTGACACACAGTCCGCCTCTTCCCAAACCCATAGTATCCCACTATCAGAGTGCCAGCCATTCCCCCTTCGCCTCCGATGACCCCCTCAATGCTTGGTGTGCTTGATGCTTGCCGCGTGCTAGCACTTGTACTAGTGAACATCCCGGCTGTACCTGGGCTCAAATCCCCCATCGCCTATGTCTCTCCCGAGCAGTTCGTGTCCTTAGGGCCCAACAAGGTGCCGGCGCTAGATGACAACAGGAGTAAGCAAGATCGAGATGGATTCGTCAATTGACAATGGCCATTGCTTCTATGGTCAGGGCCTGATCTGCCAGGGCTCCTCCAAGTGGCGTGGAACGAAAACGTGACTTGCATCGGCACAAAAACGCCTTATCGAGCCAAAACTTGGTCAATGCAGAAGGTAGACGCCGATGCTTATGCTTTACACCCCCCAAGATATGCTCAAGCAGTGTTTCGGACTGTCTACTTGCTTCAACAAGTTACAAATGTGGCAAACTAGTAACAGGAAATGCTCTATTCATACTCACATGCGGCGTCACATCCGGCTTGGCAGGACAGCATCAATCTTGGAATCAGACGAGTGGTGGCAACTTACCCCACGGCTGATCCGTATAGTACTCTCCCGTCGAGCTCAAATCATAAAGTCACTTTGTGCATTTGTGTTACTGCTGCCAGTCCTAGGTTGGTACGAGCGCATCCTGGCCCATGGCAGAGCCGTGAGCCAGCACGAGCCATGAATATCACCTTGCAGGACGAAGGATTCCTGCATTTACTGACACTCTTTTACAATAAGCACAATGCTTGAAGCTATGACTCCTATTACAACCTAAACAACAGGGCTTCCATGCCTCGCTTGCAAGCACTGCCAGGCACGCCGTGGATCTCACGCTGTAGTCATGTTGGCTTTGTTGGTCTCCATATTTGAGACCTTTTGGAACTGCAATGGCATCCTTTAACCGTTCTAGAGGGGGCTGACAGCTTAGACTCAAGAGCATAAACAACAGCCCATTATATCGGACTCAGCCTCCTCCATGTCATGGTTCCTTGCGGAGAGGTCCGTAGCGTTAATCAACTGGATGCGTTTCTAACCCTATTCTGGTCCCTTGTGTCGCTGTGTTAGCTCCGCTTTGCTACGGGGCATGCTAAGAATCTCATTGCTCCATTGAACTATGCTCAGGACGCTGATCAAATTGTCGAATCATACATACTTGTCCCTTTAGGTTGCATTCGTCTCAAAGTATGTTTGCCCCCCCTTCTTCCTATCTCTTGTCTTTGGACTTGAGGTTGGCCAATGCGTACAAAGTCTTACCTGGACGTCAGAATAAGAACTTTCGGCACTGTGTTTCATCCTGGATTATACATTGTGGGGTTTATCGAAACCCACGTTTTTTTTTTTTTATCTCTTCGGTCCCGAGAGCAGGGTAATAAGTGCCCGCGGGTCTCCGACACGGACATGACGATGAATTTCCAAAGCCGGGGTTTCAGGGCCTGATTGCAATCATGATTTCTAGCCATTCATGTCAATGGCCACGCGAAATGATGTTCCATTGAGAATTGGGGGCCAGAGGGGGAGATGCAGGTTACAGGCTGGCCCAAAGGTCTTAGTGCCTGCGAGCAACAGGCGAGACATTTGCGACATTTTCCTTAGCAACCAATGACTGCAGCATCATGACTAGATCCAAATGAAAAGAAGGCAATTCTCAACAAGTTGGTTCAGAGACTGCAGTGTCTAACCAACCAGCCCGAGCTGCAGAAAGCGATTTCGACAACAGATCCACAGCTAATTTGGCTTGCAGCAAAGCGTACATTTCCATTAGGTCAGGCGGTACTTCGTACGTGGTATCTGCCATGAGAAGTTCGGGTCGAGGGGCGTGTGCGAAGGTGAAGCAAAATGCAATTATCCACTTTGATCGACGACTAGGGGGACCCCAACCGGGCGACGTCTCAATACACCCCCCCTGGACTTGTTCTACCACGCCCTCGCGTGCTTTTGAGAACGTGCCACATGCAACATCATCTCGTGGACTCGCCAGGCCCTGGTCCAGTTGACATCCTGGCCGCGGAGGGAAGGGGGGATAGGCCGGCTGTCGCTGTCACACCATGACTGCTTGCTGCACGCCGCCGGAAAGGGCATCTTTCCATACGAAACAAGGTTAGACACTGGTAAGAAGCCAGACTGGAGCAAGGTAAGGGTTGACAGGCCAACTCCTGGCTGTTCGGGATTCGTTCGTAACTCCAGCCATACAGGCGCCGGCATTCTTTGTCACTTAATTTTTGCAAATCTCGGTCGGCGAGGACAAGGTTTACGAAAAGAGCGGAGAGAGAAAGGCCATTTGTAATAAGCATAGGGCAACGCAGTCGTAGGGCACGGTCTGCGCAAAACATCAGCGCGGCGATATACGCAATTCTCCGTCGCAAAGTGGTTGGTTGGCTGACTGACCCCTTTGCTGTTGGCGGAGTTGTTGTTGGCGGAGATTTTGTATTCTGCTGCTACAAGTACCAGGAGTACAGTGGTATTCCCCGGAGTTTGGGCTAATGACTGACGATCATGCATACCCCTTCACAGAGGGCCTGACCTGGTAGCTCTTTGTCGAGGCGAACTCCCTGCACAGTTTTGTTTTCTTGCTTTTTTCAGAATTGAATGAAGGACTGTTTGTGTTTATCGTCTGCATATTTCTAGTTGGGGTGGCTATGAAGGTGAAGAGTTGACATGGGGGGCCAAATACTATCCGCGGCTAGGAGCATCATTCTAACAGACCCATGGCTCTACTGCACTGCGGCATGCCTTGTCTGGAAGCTGTCCATCCGTTTTTCCTTTTTGGCATTTCCCCGACAGACGGCCTATTCGTAATTGCTTTTCAGACTAACGAGGAGAGACAAGGAGGGACAGACTTGCCCTGTCTGTAGGGCACTTGAGTCGGGACAACTCTAACATGTGAACGTTTGTGCTATTTGTCAGGGCACAAAGCGCAGCATATGTCATCCGGCGGCAGATTGATCCGTCTCTGTCTGCCCTTACATGAAATCAGAGGACACGGAAGAGGAAGAAACATACACGGGCCGAAAGCCATCAAAGTCACCCGGACTTCGGAATGCGCCCCCCACCGAGCAACTGATAGCATCGCATGAGATGCCCGGTTAGACTGCGGGATCCGGAGGAGCGGGGGGACACGACAACCGGGTTTCTGGGGACAAACGCCTGGCGCCGTCTCTTGCTCACAAAGCAAAAAAGTGGCCGCCGTAGGACTTACTACCATGGCTTTTTGGGGCAAAAGGGGCCAATGGGAGCTTCGGGATGGACAGATTCAACCAGTCTAGGCCCTCCTTTCGGGCCGGGGACTAGATGGCTTAGGGGCAACACTGGTGCGTGTTAGTTGGGCTCGCGTGCCAGTATCATGACACAGATCACGACGAGGTGCCGCAGCCATCGTCGACTTCAGGCTTGATGAGTGGATGGGTAAACGCCAGCAGCCCCCCTTCTCGTCCTGTCTACGGCGGGTATCGCATCTTTCCCGGCGTCTGGCAAAGGAGCTGCCGCTCCGATGCGATGCACTTGTCAGGGAAGAAGTGAAGAGGAAGCTAAACCCCTAGGGCCGGCGAACAAGATTCTGCCTTGTTGTTGACAAGCTTGATGGCGCCAGATCTTTGCGAAGCGACGCCACTAGGCTGTGGCTCGATCGCTGCTAGACGCCCAAGTCTCCCAAAGAGAGTTCTCCTCTGCCCTTGGCACTACTGCTTGTTGCAGTCACGCATTACCGCATTGCTTCGCCTACCTGTGCTTTGCCTAAGGACGAGATGGCGCTTACACGCGCCTCTCGCGATGATCATAGGCTAGCGGAAGACTCGTTCTGCCAGTCTGGATCGGACCTCACCTCAGTGCCAAATGCGCTTAGGGGATAAACATGACAGCATATGACCACCAACTTTGCCGTACCAACGTCATACCCTTATCGACCATCATCGAACGAATTCAAGTTTAGAAACTATACTTGCATGGCGGCTCAGAAGGGGGCGAGAAATCCCCCTAGAACCAAGGCACATTCACTTGAGGTATCTAAGTTTGGATTGTGATTCTTCTCGTTGAAGCGCTATGATGCCATTTGCGGAGCTAACTCTATGTCCATGCCGAAGAATTTCGGCCTCTCTAGCCGTACGACTGGCGTTGTTATAACCTTTTTTTCACTTTGTGTTTTGTCATTGCTGCCACGTGGGGTTGCGGGCGCAGTGCTACAGTAAGTACTCCGTTTGATTGGAATTGCTGTCGCTGAATACCCTTCCCGCAAGATTGGCATTTTCCCCCCACAATCACAATAAAAGGGTTGAATCCAACGAGGCTTGGGGAACGGCAGAAAGCCACATTGGCCGCAGCCTTGCCCAGGTGGCACGGGGTTTTTGAAACAAGCAATTGTCAGAGACTACCGCCGTAAGTGACAGGCGTTCAATTCTTTGTGATTTATCAAAACGATATAATAGAACCAAAAACGGGTGCATTGAACGACTCAACAAATAGCAACGCCCAACAGCTCGAGCCTCAAGGAGCTGCTGACCAGCGCAGAACGAGGACCAGTCTATGAAAGAGAAAAAAAAAAAAAAAAAAAGCACCGCTGCAGCTTACAAGTGGTACCTGTATACGAGTGTTAGTGTGGGGATGGTGAAGAAGAAAGTCTAAGACAGGGGAGACAGGGACTTCGGGGATTCAGCAGGCAGGGGGTGCGAATATCAGGCGTCAAATCCCACGGCGGAGTGAGGTGAAGAAGGACCCGTACGGCCTAGATGAATATCTAGATTGGTTTGGACGCCACAGACGTCGGGGCGTTTAAGGCTATATGCAACTATGCGGATGGCTCTCGGGTGGCACGAAGCTTCTGCTGCTTCGTTTTCGTGCACGTCCCAAAGAGGAAATGGCCGAGTTTAGAAGACTCATAACTTGGGAGCCTGGAGTTTAAAGCAAGAGGGGAGCAAGTGATTACGAAACGACGACGTACTTTCACACGTATGTGCGTGCGAGGCTACGCAGGGCCGGTTTGCTTTAGGGGGAAAGGGAACGCGAAAGCGAAGACGAAAAGAAGCAAAAGACAAAAGAACTCTGGAATTCACAACGTTGTGACTCAGATGTCCATTTGTCGGCAAAGGGCCGATTGCAGGCCTGGTTTCGCTTCTTCTTTTTTCGTTGCTTCTACAGCACAGCACAGCGCAACGCAACGCAGCGCAGCTAGGTCGACCAGGGGGTGTCCTTTTTCCCAAAGTGAGGCGTTCGGATTCGACCCATCGGCTTGTGTCTCACTTGTCGCAGCCTTGGGGATAGAGGACCCCGACATTTCTGTATAGAGAAGGCCTGCCTTACGAGTCACAAGAGCGGTCGATAGATAAGACAGAACCGTCCAATTGAGCGGATACGTCGGCGGGGGGGCTGGACTGGGGGAAGGTTTCCCATAGGTGATCTGTCTACCTGACGGAGCACGCTTGTTTGATCGTTTGTGTATCATTCGTCTTCTCCTCCGCTATTGGTCGGATGGGTTTGATTTGCTGCCCTTCTTTTTGTCCTTACTTTTCAGTTTTTTCTTCCCCCTCCCTTACATTCTCTCTTGCCGAAGCCGATTGTATGAAATTAAGAATGGTGCAACAATTGGCTAACACCGAAAGCTGAGAAGACATTAGGTTATGTCGGTGAGCCGAAAGGAGAGAAAGGAAAGAGAAGGCAACTGGGCTTTTTGGTCTGGTTGCCACCGCGGATAGTGTCCTCTCTCTCCTCGAAATTGAGCTCGATGCGACATAAGCATGCATTAACACATTGATATACGGATAGTCAGAGGTTACTACTGTACGATCAAGCAAGTTAAGGCGAGAGCAAGCCTGATGCTGGTGATTTGTGACAGAGGGAGGGGAGAGGAGAAAGTTGCCTTGGGCCCCATTTGGCTTGTGGCTGCGAGAGGCGAGGCGAGGCGATGCCATTCGATTCGAGGTGGGTGTGTCTTTGGATACCGAAGCATTTGAATTTAATTTAATTTACGGCTTCTGCCTTGGGAGGTTGAAAGTTGCTGCCTTGAAAGTTGTCGCCTTGCTTGGATGGGATGGATGTTTAGGGTAAGTACTCTGTAAGAAGTTTGAGATTGAGTGAGTGATTGGAGAATTGCTGGCGAAGTGCTCAATTACTGCGTTTGCGAGGCGACGATGCATGAGACAAGTCCAAATGCCCGCTTGGCTAAGCGGTATAGCGTGTCACTAGTATTTACGACTTGACATGACAAGGTGATCAGTTCGACTCTGATAGTGGGCAGCTTCTTTTTTTGCGCTTTTGGTCTCTTATTCTTTTTGTTCTTTGTGCTCTTTTTATTCATCATTTCGTCTTATGTATTATTCGTTGCTTAGTATAGTTTTGTCTGTTGTTACTGTTATGGGAATCCGTGATCAACAAGGGGACAATAATAACAACAAGCATGTAACTCGTAGATCGGCAAGGATGCCATTACAGTACGAGATTGAGATGAGACACTCGGGCTGTGCCTATCGGATGATGCTCACTTCGGTCCTACGAGTACAGTACACGCATCTTTTTTTTTTCAGCTGCTTTGCTCGTGATGATCCACGGCCTAAGCAAGCAAACAAAGTGTCCTCATGACTCAACCTGCAGTTTAGTCATTGCTGCGGCCTAGACTATCGTATTTCCTCGCGTGTCCCGTCTACGTCATTCACCCTTAGCTGGGGCTGCAGCAGAATAGGTAGCCTCCAACTAACTGTAACTGTACTGTTTACGTACTCTGTACTCTGTACTCTGTACTCTGTACTCTTTCTCATAGCAGCTTCTTCAGGTTCCGATTTATCCATGTTTTTTTTTTTTGCTGGGGGTTATTTATGTAAGCCAACCTGATGAGTGATCATGAGTCTTGTTATACATGTGTACGAGGAAGAAAAGGCGGGGTGGAAAGGAGAGAGGTAAAGAGGCTAAAAAGAGTCCCGCAAATTGCCCCTCAGGCTGTTGCTTGAACTTTTGAGGGTGACAGATTTGGGTGCCGTGAAATAGCGATTATCAAGCTTTTTGACAGCTGTTTGGAGCTAACAAAAAAACAACATAGAAGTTAATAGCAAAATGGAAAACGTGGCCAGATGATGGTTGTTTGAGCGAAAGCTGGCATCTTCTTGTATTTTATTAGTATTTCCTTTTTTTCTCTTTGGTTATATAAATGCATATTGTTGATTTGTATTTGTGAATGGGAATCTGGTTTTTTGCTTTCTTACTTGACGTCAAACAACCGGTTAAACCCTTTTCGGCTGTTTTGCGGCTTTTGCTCTTACATCTTTTTTTTGCCTTCGCCCCGAGAATAGCTCCAGAACGACGGCGAAGAAGAGAAAACCACTCGAGCTCTCTTCTTCTGGCATTTTGTTATTATTGTCGTTGATACGCTTTGTGATAGCTGGCGAACGAACGACAAACCTTGCGCCTCGCGTATCGATCGAGACCGAAGACCGAGAAAGCTTGCTCGAGAGAACTACATACAGACATACAGGCGCGCGCGTTTGCGTTTCCTTTGTCTCTCTCTCGCGATACATATAATACATACATATATTCACTATACACACGCACATATAACGCATCATGTCGTCCTTCTTCGTCGAGCTCTGGGAGGGCATCTTCACGCCCGGCCCCACGCCCACCATCCTCAAAGCCACAAACATCACCTTCGCCGCGCTGCAGGTCGTCCTGCTGTCCCTCCTGTTCGCGACGTACAGCGTGCACTTTGTCGTGCTGTCGGTGCTGTGCGGCGGGCTGTGGTGGTCGATCAACTGGTTCGCGCGGGAGCTGCGGATCGCGCAGGCGGCTGAGGAGATGAAGAACAAGAACAAGCAGCTCGACGAGAGGAAGAAGGGCGAGGCGTCCGGGTCGAGCGATACTGAGGTTGAGGGCAGGGTGACAAGGCGGAGCGCGAGGAATAAGAAGAGTAGCGCTGCGGCGGCGGCAGCGGCTGGGGATGTCGAGCCTGTGGAGAAGAAGGGGGAGGTGAAGCAGCGGCCGTTGACGGAGTCGGTGTCGAGTGTGAGTACGGAGGATGAGTGGGAGAGGGTTTCTGAGAATGAGAGGGAGAGGAAGTGATGGGGGGAGGCCATTTCGCGATGGTATACAATATCGCCGGGCTCATTTGTTGAACCTCTTTGGATCTCTCTGGACGATGGGTCTCCCTGTGTGTACTAAAGGGGAGCTCCGTCGTGTGTACATATAACTGATCACTTGTTGTGAGATGAATGTGAATCTAACAAGCAACGTCAAACTGACGGACTGCACTCCTCTGTGGGCGATGGTGGTCTTGATATGCGGTATTGCCGCCTCGTAGTTTTGCTACTGCGTTTGACAACCGAGGGTCCTTCAATAAATACCATGAGAATTTGATCTCTATCTAAGCTCTAAGCTCTAACTCTATGTACGATACAAACCAAGTATTTTATAATGAACAAAAGAGAAAAAATGAAAGAGCGGTAAGTCGGACTAAGAACAACATGTAACAAGAAATGAAAGCTGGCAGCACTCCTTTCTCCACGCTTCAAACAAACGAACAAAAGATACCCTCTTTCTCATCATCGTCATCATTCCCCTTTTCGAAAGAGTCACAATAGGCAAACCATAAAGCCAGAACTAAACACGTGGTCTTTTCACAACTTCCGTAGCTTCTGCGTCATCCGAGCCGCGATGAGGGTGCTCATAGCGCCGATAAACAGACAAACCGCAATAGCATTCGTACCTTCACCAGCATCTTTGCTAGCCGTTTCCTCAGCGGCTTCGTGCAGCTCGGGGCTCTTGCCAGGCTCGAGGATGGCGAAGACAATGGTGGAGATGAAGGTGCCGATGAACTGCGGGAGGGTGGTGTAGATGTTGAGGATGCCAAAGTAGATGCCGGACAGCTCGCCCGACGTGGAGGATGAAGAAGAGGAGGTGGAGGAGCGGGAAGAGGAACGTGATGAGGGGAGGACTGAAGAGGGATCGTGGGCGCCGCTGAGTTTGTTGACTTCGATACCGAGGAAGGCTGTTGGAGCCCACATTGCAATGGCCCATGGTCTGAAGTTTTGGAAAAAGGAGAAGTTAGCAGTTTGGCTATTGTAGAGAGAACTATCACCGGGGACCAAGGATAGATGAGTGAACTTACATTCCGCACAGACACATGAGAAACGTGGCGGATATAAAGCTTCTCGCCAAGGGAGCCATAAACATGGCCGCCGAAAACATCAAGTGACCGCAGATCCAGGCGGTCAACAAGTCCGGCTTCATGCTGTTAAGCTTCTCTAGGAACCCAGCCATTGCTCGCGGCGGCCGGTGCGTATAACTATCATCATCCGGAGACCGCACAACCATAGGCAAGAAGAAGGCCCCCACGAAGCTAACAGTCGAGTAAATCATCAAAGCCGCACTTCCAATACGTCCAATATCTCCCAGCGTGTCAGCCGACTTCTTCGCACCAGCCGGCATATCATAGCGAAAGTACGTCTCGCCAACCCAAGTAGTGCTGTAGAAGAGAAACGGGAACCAGCCGATCCAGGACCAGAACTGAGCCCAGCAGATGGCCTGGACGCGCGGCGGCAAGGTGAGCAGCGTGGAGCGGATCTGGCGGAAGACGCTCAGGGGGTCGTCGAGGTGCTGCTTCTTGCCGTCGTCGTGGTCCTTGCTGGCGACGAGGACGCGCTCGGTGACGGCCCAGCAGGTGACGGAGGTGGTGCCGAGGATGGCCATGGCGGCGATGACGGTGAGCTGCTTGAACTGCGAGTCGCCGAAGCCGGGGCCTAGCAGGCGGACGAGGTCGATGGAGCCGGCGCCGTAGCCGATCATGTGGCCGATGGCGTTCATGCGGCTGCCTGTGTTTGATGATATATATTCAGTAAGTTTGAACAAGAGGAGAGAGAAGAGGTGGGAAATCAAGGGTTATACTGACCCCAGGCAGCTCCGGCTTGCTGCTTCTCAATGGGAAGCGTATCGACAATGAGACTCCTCGCACACGACATGACTGAAACACAACCACATATTAGCCCCCAAACTACCCTTCACAAACAAGGGGTTCTTCTCATCTTCAACATACTCATATTGATGGCAAAGTCCACCGCGTAAATCGCCGCCACCGCCAACACGACCGTCACCCTCCTCGCCGCATCACTCCCGGCCTCAGCCCCCATGAAGCCGCCCACAATCTCCCTCGTGAAGCCCAGCACCAGCAGGCACGCCGACACAATCACCGCCCCGACCATCATCAACGGCCTTCGTCTGCCCCAGCGCGACGTGCTCTCATCAGCTACGACGCCGACGATGGGCTGCACGATGAGGCCGGATAGAGGGCCTGCGATCCAGACGAGCGACGTGTTGCTTTTGGTGAGGCCCAGGTTGAGGAGGTAGGGCGTGCAGTCTGGGAAGATCTCATGTTAGCTTTATTTCATTGAAAATGACGACTTCTTTCAGAATGAATGAAATTGATTCTCGACGAGTGAGAATTGAATCAAGACTTACAAGTCATTTCAATGCCCCATGTAAACCTATATTGGGCCCCCCAAAAACGCGTCAGCAAAGACTCTCTCACCAAGCTCAACCTCACCACCCTTCCAAGCCATAAAAAAAACACAAAAAAAAAAGAGAAAAGAAAAAGAAAACTCACGTAATCCCAATCGTGCAAAACGTCAACAACACCATCTGCACCGTCTCCGAACCGCCCCGAATCGACGCCCTCCCAACCAGCGAAGACGCCATCGTGGCCTTCCGCAACGCTTTGTGTGTGTTTTGTTTGGGTATCTACCACAATCTTACCAAAAACCAAGCCCCCTAATAAAAAGCGAAAAGAAAAAAGAACGTTCCAGTGTCGCGTGCGCCCGCTAAATCAGTTAACAATCGGCCTCGTTAATTGCATTGCTATGTACCATCCCTAAACATGATTTTTAGTTTCTTCAAAAATTCCTGTTGTCTTCTTCTTTCTTTTTTTTTTTTGTCTCGTGAAGATAGACAGATTGGCCCAAGGGAAAGGGGGCTCAAATGTCGCGTCCTTTGTTAACCCCCCCCAGCACCCGGCTATTAATAGCCCCCTGTGAGACCCAGCAGTCTCTCGCTCTCCGTTCTAGACTCGAAACAGCCATGGGGGGGCCTCGTATCGCCAGCGTCACTGCAGGACAAACCTCGTAACAGAGACCCATTCTGGAGTCTTGTTTCATATTTTACTGGTGTTGGTGTCTTGTCTTGGTCTTGGCCTTATCTTGGGCCAACAACACTATCTTAGTTGTCACTGGCCCATCTTGCAGCTAAACATTCTAAACAGG